AAAGGCGGTAGTCGGATCTAAATGCAGCAGCAGACTTTAATAATTCAAACTAGGGAAAACTCAGAACAGGCAAGACACTCGTAAATACATTCATACAATAACTGACAAAGACAGGGCAGAAACACAGGGCTTAAATAATCAGAGACAAACGAGCAGACAGGATAACAAGGGGGCGTGGATAACAAGAAACACCTGGGACAACTAATGACAAGACACTAATGACACTAAACATGACAGGACACAAGACCCACATTATGACATAACCCCCCCCCCCCCTTAAGGGCGGCTCCTGATGCCCAACAAAACCCCCCAAAAAAACACCAAAAAGTTCAGGAGGGCGGTGAAGCACAGGCGGTCTTGGGAGAGGGATGGAGGGCCAGGCCCGTGCAGGGGAACGGGACCAGGACCAAGGCAAGGCGGGCCTGGGCCGCAGAGCGTGGGCAGACCAGACTGGGCCGGTGACCAGGGCGGAGCCGGACGAGGCGAAGGCCAGGGCGGTGAAGCCCCTGCAGACGACCATGGCGGCGCAGCCTTCATGGTCTCTTCACCGCGGACCCTTGGCCCCCCCCAAAAAAATACTTGGGAAAACCTAGGGGGACAACCTCTGGGCTGGCAACGGGCTTTGGGACAGTCTCATGGAGCTTCATAGACATTGGCCGAGCGAAGAGCAGAGACGGGGCCGGCAGGGCGAGGCGCAGAGGCGGGGCCGGCAGGGCGAGGCGTCTGGGAACACCCACCGGAGCCTGGCGAACCAAACGAGTCCTCCTTCTCCTCCTGCGACGGCGAGTCACTGGGCTAGATACTCTCACTTGGCTAAATTCAGCACTTGACTCACTTGATTCACTTGACTTGGCACTCGACTCACTTGATTCGGCACTCGGCTCACTTGATTCGGCACTCGGCTCACTTGACTCGGCACTCGGCTCACTTGACTCGGCACTCGGCTCACTTGACTCGGCACTCGGCTCACTTGACTCGGCTCACTTGACTCGGCACTCGGCTCGCTTGACTCGGCACTCGGCTCGCTTGACTCGGCACTCGGCTCGCTTGACTCGGCACTCGGCTCGCTTGACTCGGCACTCGGCTCGCTTGACTCGGGACTCGACTCCCTTGACTCGGGACTCGACTCACTTGACTCGGGACTCGACTCACTTGACTCGGGACTTGACTCACTTGACTCGGGACTTGACTCACTTGACTCGGCGGCACTTGACTCACTTGACTCGGCGGGACTTGACTCACTTGACTCGGGACTTGACTCACTTGACTCGGGTTCGTCGAGGCAGAAGCGACGTGCGGGTTCGGCTGAGCGGGCGAAGCGCGGGTTTGCGGAGCGCGGTCTCGGCAGGGCTGGGGTGAAGCGCGGGTTCGACATGGTGGGACCCTGGAATGATGGTCTTCCTGGCAGCACGCGCAGACCTCATAGGAGGATCAGCCACGCTGGAGATCGGTCCCGTACGGCCATAGACCGATCCGGTGGCTGGCTTGATTGCTGGCAAGACGTGGAGCGTGGTCTGAGGGGATACTGCAGGTTCAGGGTGCTTCTCCTCCTCGCCCACGGTAAACGAAGAGCCGCTCCACAACAGGGCCAGGTCAATATACCACTCTAAAGACCCATGCGGATCAGGTTCGGGCATCTGAGACCGGAGTGGTTCCGATAATCCCCTGCGGAAGAAGATTTTCAAGCCCTGGGTGCTCATTTGCGCGAGATGCGCCAGTTCAATGAAATCCGCGACGTACCGTTCTATGGAGCGATTCTCTTGACGGAGACGGAGAATCTGGACATCAGGACTCCAGGTTGGCATGGCTGCTGGATCACGATGCGGTGAGTTCTTCTCCTAACTGCTAGATCCTGGGAGGTCAGTTATTCTGTCATGAATTGCGTGGAAGCAAAGGCGGTAGTCGGATCTAAATGCAGCAGCAGACTTTAATAATTCAAACTAGGGAAAACTCAGAACAGGCAAGACACTCGTAAATACATTCATACAATAACTGACAAAGACAGGGCAGAAACACAGGGCTTAAATAATCAGAGACAAACGAGCAGACAGGATAACAAGGGGGCGTGGATAACAAGAAACACCTGGGACAACTAATGACAAGACACTAATGACACTAAACATGACAGGACACAAGACCCACATTATGACAAGAACGTACTCGGTTACCTAATGTAACCTCGGTTCTCTCTAGAAGAGGGAACGAGAATTGCGTAACCTGCCGTGCTCGCGGCACGAGCTTATTCGCTTCAGTCAATGAAAACCAGAGAGCCTGTCGAGCACCTCTTTTATATATGCTAGCCACTCCCATTCTGGCGGGCTGTGACGCGTAGAGGGCGCTAAGCGCCCTAATTGGGTGTGACATCACGCGGCGCTCACCGATAGGCTGCTGCAGTTGCTGCAGGGCAGCTAATGAGCACGCTTATACAGCCTGCTATGGTCTGCTGTCCACTGCACTGCGTTGACAATAAATACAAAATTAAGGATAGTTTTTTGGCTTCAGATCTCGAGAAAAGATGACTTTACCCGTAGCGTAAGCAACTTACGCAATACTCGTTCCCTCTTCTAGAGAGAACCGAGGTTACATTAGGTAACCGAGTACGTTTTCCTACATCTTTAAACTTTTAGTTTTACAAACGGGACAATCTTTGAAGGATGAACAAATAATGTTTTTGGTCATCACATTAAAAATAACATTTAAATTGGATAATATTTAGGGCTTTGAAGTGCTGGAAAAAGTGTGAAGCACTTGAAAGTGCTTGAAAAAAGCTTGAATTTCACTCTCAAAAGGTTGTACGAACTCTGAAATGAATAATGTAAAAACATACTACTATATATGCCACTAGATCATGGTTACAGTTAGAGTTACTACATTAAATCCATGGTGAATGCTGGTGATTTGTGGACTGAAAAGCCTTCTAACTTGTTTGTTCATGACACAATGTTTCTCCTGGTGTCCATGTCATTGCTGTGTGATCTGTTATCTATGGTTTAATATATAAATTAATTATGGTTTAATACAGATAAAATAGGCCCTATAACTTTGTTTATGCAAATACCAGTTGTCAAGGATGTAACATTATTCAGGATTAGGGGCACCAATGTAATATAACATATATGTACATATCTGTTAACACCAATGTGAATATTTGAGGCAATGTCCCGCTCAATGTCAATGGTGATAACAGCCCTGCCTGCTGTTCATTGAATCTCACAGATGTTTCATCGCAGAGTAATGACTCCAGTCCATGATCCAGTTAGACTACCCCTAAGGCTTTACTGAACATGTGCACATTCTTTATCTGATATTTTGATATTCATATCATAGCATATCACTCTCATGCAGGGGGTTAATGTCTTTTACAATCTTGTTTTTGAACAGAAACAGAAAGTGGCAGCTATTGTTTAATGTGTGCTAAATGAACAGTTCAGTCTTATCTTGCTTGGGCAGCATGAGATTGTGTGTTTTTATTCATTCATTTATATGTTTATTTATTTCCAGGCCTTTCAAGACTCAAGCATTTTCAAGGCGACAATGATGTAATTGTGTGGCAAACCGGGGTAAGGTCCTTCTTGGGCTTATAAATTTAAAGAATTGTTTATGTCTTAGGTTGAGAAAGGGCGTTCAAAAGCTTTTTTCTCAACAGAAGACACAGGGTGTTGTCTGAGCTGTACAATGCGCTGATTCGGGCAAAATCCCATAGTTTCTAGACAAACTGTGTGACTGGTGATGTAAGAGAGACACCAACAGGCCCACAGCGTTTACTCCAGTCTGTATTTTTGCCTTGGTTTAAACTGTCTGCTAGATAAATAAATAAATAAATAAATAGAAACAATGTAAAATGTCTCTAATTTATTTAGTTTTTATGTTGCACTATGTTATCTATCTATCTATCTATCTATCTCTCTATCTATCTATCTATCTATCTATCTATCTATCTATCTATCTATCTATCTATCTATCTATCTATCTATCTATCTATCTATCTATCTATCTATCTATCTATCTATCTATCTATCTATGTGAATTCTGTCCTCCAAAGTAAAATGTATCTATCATCATATTTTTTGTAATAGCCTAGTTGTTGGTTAAACAAGAAAACACAATACAATAAATCTGTGCATCTTATCTGTTACATGGTTGCTGTTTCATTAATTGTATTGTTAATATATTTTTTTACATTTAGCTAAAAAGCCTATAATAATGGCAGGTTACACCATGACAATTAACTCGTCTCATAATGTCTCATCAAATGTGCTCAGTTAACTGTACCTTTTCTCCTTGGTAAATAACCATTTAAATGTTTCCCAGATTTTAACATATACAGAGAAAATAACTTTAAAAAAATAAACCTTCACTGGAGTAAAAAGTGTGACAGCTAGCAACAGTCTCCCCTATACACATAGGCTAACTTCTATTGGATTAATCTTTAGGTTTTAGTCATGTACATTATAATTTATTATTAAAATTTGTATTCAAATTATTATAATATTAGGCTACATGTATATAAATCTATATTTTATACAGATTTTAAAATTCTTAAATGGATCTAATAGCTAATATTGTTGATAAAATACACAGTAACATATAAAAAAACATACCTAGTGTTCCTCTATTCACCTTTATTGAACTCATATTGGGAATATGTGTAAAAGTGTATCTGAATAGAGGAAATGCATTTTACTCGGGAGTGGAAACGATTCGTGGGTACTGTACGTCTTAATCTTGTCATTCTGCTTCCTCCTGCGCGTGTTTACCGAGCTCGAACATATTATATAAGATTGTTCACATTTTATCGTTGATCTGATTTCATTAGCAACCGCAAGCATCATACAAGTATTTGAGTTATGCAGAAACACAGGTGAAACACACAGAGGTTACTCGAGTTCATTCCTGATGGGACACGCCCTTTGCAATACAAACCGCGCCCAATATCTCAACTCTGCGTTCTGATTGGCTGGGGCGACTAACGGGGTGTTGATTTCCGGTATGCGGAGGCTGGAATTTCAGGTTTCCCTTTTGTGGGTCTCGGGGTAGCGTAGCGGGGACGCGCGTCTCCCTGATCACCGACACATTACCATCTTCCGTTTTCATGCATTTTATCGTATGTGTTTAGTCTTGGATAAGGATGACGGAGAGCGCGGGGAATAAAAAAGAGGATTGTCATGCAGCGAATGGTGTGAAACCAGGAAGAAATGGCATGGTGAAGAACCATCATCACCATCATCAGTATCAAAAGCAGGAGAAGGTGAGGCCACATCATGCATTGAGAGCTTCGAATCATGCATGTCTAATATTTCATATCTACAAGTGCATTTTGTTGCTGATAATGATGATGCATGGCAACACAACAGCTCTTCTCAATACTGTGGCTGCCTGGGTAGTGTTCAGTTAGTGCATGACGTGCAGTTTCACTGTTTATGACAGGATCACATGTGGAAAAGTAAAGTTTGACAGCCAGATGAGATGTAGACTTTCTCCTCATAATAGCTTTTTATGAGTCCTGGGCATCTTAACATCTGAAACATGATGATCTATACTGCCATAAGTGAAAACTGTTGAACCAGAAAGTTAAAATGCAACCTCATGTTGTCTTTGCATTTGTTAGTCAAATGCACTGAGAGAGACAAGCCAAGATATCGATGTCTTTTTTTGTACCTAAGACTTCAGGAACTTTTAAATATAAACCAGCTTTGAGAATTATTCACTGGATAAAACGTGTCTCCATGACAACACTGTAGGTTTTAGTAAAATACTTTAGAATTTTAATGTGTATGTAGTTTCTGTGAATATTTCCATTTGTTTCATATAGGTTTATAGAAAATAGATCTATAGATTTCTCAAAAAGACCTATATAGGTAATACAATTCTGCTTCTATATTTGATTAGTCCTTGCATTAAATAGTGGGTTTTAGTAACATATATTATATATACATTTAAAAATTAATATGCAAATCTTATTTTTTTATAATTATTTACATCTATATTCTGTATTTCATTTAAGTTTATTGATAATAAATCAATCAATGGATCTAATAGCATATGCTATATGCACTGAGGAAGGCACTTCAGGATCTTGGTGTCATACCAGTGTTTGGAAGCATCTCATGATTCAAGTTAAAGCTCTTGGAATTTCCGTCATGTGCCTCCTATAAGTGTTTTGAGTGGGAGATTGGTCAGCTTAATCTATTCCAAGATATTCCCTACTTTGTTATTGTCACAGCTCCCTTGTTTAGGCAACTAAAACTGTCTTATAAAGTCTTTTGACTTTTGCTCTGATTCACTCTGCATTGTAATGTTTATAGTAATCACACAGATCTAACTAAATTTAAGTCTGTTATCGCTCACTTTTTCCTGGACACCACTTTGAGCCTTGTGGTTGAATACAAAGTTGTGCTGCTGTCTTGGAGCTGGCGGCGGCTCACGTGGATGTCACTGTTGCTAGACTCCATGGTATTTGTTAGTGGGGCATGACTAGTCACATGTGCCTGCAAATCACAGGGTTTTGAATGACCTGCTTGGTCTGTTTGGACCAAAACTTGTATGTGATCATTTGGTCACCATGAGTAGCAGAGTTCTTGACAATGGGAGACCCAATTTTGAAACTTGTAAGTTAATCTGAGTCTGACTTTTGCCAATTTTCCATTAATAAAGCTTGCAGTCTTACAAACTGTCACTGTTTCTGTACTAAACTGTTAAATGAATCAAAAGGGATCCGTATCCGTTGTTCTGCAAACGTTTGCATTGCACAGGCAATTTACACAACTTGTAATCAGTAACTACAATGTGATGGTACCATGACTACAGTGTTTTGATGGGTTTTGCTTTACAGGTTTACCATTCTGCATGCAATGGAGAACTTTACAGCAGGCCGTTCATCGAGTCCTTCGAGGAAACTCCCATGCTGGTTGCTGTGCTCACGTACATGGGCTACGGCATCCTTACGATCTTTGGATATCTGCGGGATTTCATGAGGGAGTGGAAAATAGAAAAATGCCACATAGCCAGAGAAAGGGAGGAGCAGAAGGTAAACATTGTCATGTGTGCGTGGTGGAAAAAGTAGATGTATACACTACTGTTCAAAAGTTGTTGTTTTTTATTAAAATAAATTAATACTTTCATTCAGCAAAGATGCATTAAATTGATAAAAAGTGACAGTAAAAACATAATAAATGTTTCTTGGGCAGCAAATCATATTAGAATGATTTCTGAAGGATCATGTGACACTAAATACTGGAGTAATAATGCTGAAAATTCAGCTTGCATTTTAAAATTGCTAAAAGATGTTGTTTTTTTAATTGTAATATTATTTCGCAATTGTATTTTTTGGACTATATTTTCTGACCCCAAACTTTTGAAAAGTAATTTTAATAAGTAACGAGTTTTAAAGTAAAGATGGAACCTCTTTTATTATCAGCCAAGATGTATTTTATGTTTCACGTTAAAGGAAAATTGTTAAAGAGTAAATTACAATAATAAAAAAGATTATTTTATTTTAAATGATTTATTTGAAAATTCATATGCCAGAAAATATTTTGAGAGTAATTTTTTTGTACAGACACAGTAAATTAAACTTCATTTATTGGTAATTTATTGGTGTAAGTTTTAGAGGAAGAGGTCATTTTGTCAGAGGAAGGATATTGTGCAGTTTACCGTTACTGTAAAGTACTTTAGGGCACTGAAAGGTTGCGCTTTGTTTTGCCACATGCTTTTAATGGATGTTGTTCTTCCTAAAATATTGAAATATTGAATTGTTTTCTGTTGGTGAAACAAAAACAATTTGTTTTCGGCCCCCCCAGGGCTTTGTTCCACTTTATCAAGACTTTGAGAATTTCTACACAAGGAATTTATACATGAGGATTCGGGACAGCTGGAACAGGCCCATTTGCGGTGTTCCTGGGGCCAAGTTTGACCTTGTTGAGCGGAGTTCCAATGATTACAACTGGACCTTTGAGTAAGTAGGCTGTCTTGAACCTGAACACACACACAAAACACATCTTGACTGTTTTACCTCCCAAGATGAGAGCTGTATTAATCTAAGGATGCTAATATCAAGGTCGCTTACAAGCCCATGTAAAATAAACTTTCGAAAGTAAGGCTACTTTTAAAGTATAACCTGAAATATGAGGTGACTGAGGTTGAATGAAACTAACAATCCAGTCTAGGGTTGTCAAGGATTCGCTCAAAAGAAATCTTAACGCAATTGAATTGTGCTCTTTCAGATACACTGGACGAGTGGTGAAGAATGTGATAAACCTGGGCTCGTATAATTATCTGGGCTTTGCAGAGAACAGGGGCTTCTGTGCCACAGCTGCTGGAGATGTGACGGTGAAATTTGGGGTGGGCGTGGCCAGCACCAGACAGGAAATGGGTGAGTGCTCGTTGGTTACTTTTTAGGAAATATAGGGACATGAATGCCCTTACTAGGCATTTTTTATTGGTGCTGGCACACAACCCTCAAGCGTTAAACAGACACATAATGACATACCATTGCTTTACTGACATTAAAGGGTCACTTCACCCATTTCAACATTAATCTTTATTGAAAGTGGGTCATATATGTAGTCGAAATGTAAAAGAAATTTTGAATTTGATGCCCTCTTGACCGAGAAAAGACAGAAAATAACTTTAGTGCGCATTTGTATGCAAGACAACAACTCCCACAATGCACCACATTGCACAGCTCCGCAAGCCACTCCCACTAATCCAGAACAGCGCAAACATCAGAGAAATCACTTTTCCGTCTACAAGGCTAACGTTAGCTGCCACCAGAGTTAGAAATTCATTTCACACAAAATTTCTAGTTAGTTGGCTGTGGCGAGCAGGACGAGGGCGAGGGATGTGATAGGACAGCGCGAGGCCGGTGGCGCGAGTGATAATGAACGACACCTGTGAGACGCACCGGTCTCTCTCGCGTCTCTCACCGAGGAGCGGACGCATAAAACGAGGAGCGACGACAGGGCAGATCGAGAGAGGAACAGGCCTGATTTTATGTTGTGTTTTGTTTCTGTTGTGTGTGGCCAGCAGTGAGGGGCTGCTCGCTTATATTTTTGTTTTGTATTTGTTTATTTTACTATTAAAATGTTTAAATGTTTGCCGGTTCCCGCCTCATTCTTCCCACAACAACGAACCCCGTTACATTGGCAAACTCATTAGTGAATTACTCCTCGTTTGTATTTCTTTCTATATGGTGAATTATTGCATGATGATGATAAAGTTACCTGGATGTTCAGTCAGAACATATGCGGTGCGAAACTTGGATGGATCACAACACAAACGTCCGTGTGCTCGTCTGATTCAGAGGTTTCGTCAAGGTGATATTGCGATCGTTGAAATTCTCTGCAGCAGACGGACTCTATCTGTGTCCGTAGCGCACAGCGAGAGCCGAGAGCACGACATGTAGGCACCAGCAGTCCGCCCAGCTCGAGCCAGTCCGGGCTTCTCGTCTGCGCCGGGCTGGTCTCCTGCGGCGGCCGCTGCCGCAGCCGACGCCGCCGCCTCTTGTTCCTCCATCAGCCTCAGCTGCTCTTCGCTATATTGTGGCTCGTATAAATAGCCACGAACATCAGTTTCGAGCAAAAGATTTTCAAAATCCTCGTCTTCCATATCGTGTGTCGTAAATTCAGGCATTATGGTAAATCTAACTCCTTGAGCGCTTGTTAGCTTAGCTTGCTGTCTTCCAAGCAAGATGGCGGATTAATAGTTTAGTTTCTTCAGGTTTAGTCCCACCCACTGATCTGTAATAGGCCGGTGGGGTGAGTGGGTCCCACGCCCTTGAATAATAATGAGCTAAAGGCTGTAGTTTTCTTAATATGCAATGAAATTTATCTTCCGTCCTATCGTGACGCAAAATGACGATATTTACGTCACGATAGGACGGAAGTAAAACACTTAAATCCTTTTTTCTCCCATCTCAGAAAAAAAACAAGCAAAATTCCACCATCATTATAATATATGACTGGGTTTCTAACAATACAAACCTTAATGCAAATGGGTGAAGTGACCCTTTAATGAAAGCTCAAATTGCGTAGATTACAGAAAAAAACTGCTTTTAATTTGTTTGACTTTGGCCAGTAAGCAACCACCTAAAATCCACCCAAAACACACTGGAGGACTAAGGGACCATTTACACAGAATGTGTCTTTGTTTAAGAAAACGTGCTTTTTTGATTTGATTGTTAGTTTAACTGCCTCTATTGCTCTCCTCATTTGTAAGACACTTTGGATAAAAGCATCTGCTAAATTATTAAATGTAAATGTAAAAAAAAAAGTCTAACTTCTTTTAACTTCAGTGCTGTGCTTATCGCTCACTTCAAGCTGTTTTTATCCGTCTTCTAACCTTCATTATATTAAACTGCGTTAGGCCATGGTTTTTTATAAATTAAATTTGTTTACAGAAAGGACAACTAGAATTAAAATAATACCTCTTCTATCTCCATGCAGCATATATTTTCTTGTTAGGCATCCTCTCACATTTCCCACATGAGCACCTGTACAACAATTAATGAGTGAACATGTTGCAACATGTTCAACATGTTTCTGTGTGTGTGTGTGTGTGTGTGTGTGTGTGTGTGTGTGTGTGTGTGTGTGTGTGTGTGTGTGTGTGTGTGTGTGTGTGTGTGTGTGTGTGTGTTGCTCATCCATCACTACAAAATGGCTGAAAAAACTCTACAACAACTAATTAAATCGCTTAAATAACCATTCGGAAACTTACTGGTTCATTCTCAAAGTTGTTGCTTCTTCCGGAGTCTCCTTCATCAGTGTCCAACTCCAGTTCATACATCGTTGACAGTCATATTGATTCTCCTGATTTCTTAAAGGGGTTCTATTATGTGTCTCCACTTTTCCAACTTGAGTCCTAATGTTAGTCATTTAAATAATCTCCGCCCACAGAATACACAAAAAAAGGGGACGAGGTCTGGTTGAGCTGCATTAGAGAAGATGTGTTGTCACTATGTCAAAAAGACAGTTTTTTTCCACAACGTTTCCAAAACTCATTTGTTTGAACTTTTCTAAAGCTGATGAACTTGGAGTGGTTAATTTATTTTAACCACTGTTCCTGAACATAACCCCAACGTTTATCTGTGCCCTGCACATTTTATGAAGAACAGGTTATTTTCTGTTGCTTTTGTAAGCTTTTGCTTTTGTAAGATTGTTCACCGCTCCGTTCGCCGGTTTTGTGATCGATTACTGTTTGTATTACCATATTTTCCAACAAATATGATTAAATGGTGGTATTTAATATGATTAAACAAATACGATTAAATGGTGGTATTTCGTATTGTATCTATACGAAAAAAATTACAAAAAACATACCACTCTGAAACATCTTGTAAAATCCGTGCTTGCAAAGTCTGTGTATGAAATCTGTTCACTTTTGTTAACATTGTCAGGGTCTGAATCGGGCTTGAATTGGTTTGAAATTGACGCCATCTTTAATATTTAAACTAGAGAAGAACTCGCAGTTATGGAGGGGCGTGCCATTTCCCGAACACGCGCTAAGCAGTGCCAATCGCAAAACAATGGGCCAGCTAACCAATCACAGCACATTTTGTATTTCAGAAGGAAGGGCTTCATCGAAATCTGCATGTTCGAGCCAGACTGGGGAGAGAGGTGCTGTAATAATGTAATAATATAAAATATGTGAAAAATAATGCGTTTTTGGAACAATCAAGAATGAAAACATATTCTAGTACACCCCAAAAACAAAATCAAGGCTTCATATAAGGGCACAATAGGACCCTTTTAGTGTAGTTATCTGAATCAGAGCTGTAAAGGCTCAGCCCTATTCTGGAAATGGGGTGGGGAGAAGAGGCTCATTTGCATAAAAAAGAAAAACACAAAAACATTTTTGAGCTGAAACTTCAGACACATTATGGGGACACCTGAGACTAATATTACATCTTGTAAAAAGGGGCATAATAGGTCCCCTTTTAAAATGTTCTTAAAGTTAAAGTCGCAATGAAACTGAAGTAGCGACCAATCTTTTCTTCTGTATTGTGGCGTACGTCTAAGTATAACGGATTATCGAAAAAAGGTAGGGCGGAGTCGGAGGCATGGTTATGTTCACCGGTCGTTGATCGGATGGAGGCAGAATGACTGAATGCGAGCTTGCGGTCGCTGTTTTAGGCTGCCCAAATGATTGAAGTTCTGCATACATCAACAGAGAGAAAGTCTGTAGTTTTCACTGTAAGATCCAGTTTTGACATTTTGATAAAGAAATTGCAAGGTCAATTTTAAAAAACTATATGAAACATGCATGGAAGAATTGTTCCCAGAGAGATCAATATCACATATTTAGAAAATAGGGTGAATTTTTTATTTCATGCTGACTTTAAATCTAGTTAGTTATTATATAGTGTTATGTAGGAGCTTACTAGGATGACTTTGCTTTCGAAATATACACAGGTGTTGGTTCTCTAGCTACTGTTTATAATAAGTGAGTGTTTGCTTACATTAGCTGATTTATTTGTGTGATTTGCTTAGGCAACCTCGACAGGCATGAAGAGTTGGAGAAACTAGTGGCGTCATTCCTGGGAGTGGAGTCGGCTATGGCTTTCGCCATGGGCTTTGCAACCAATTCTATGAACATTCCTGCGATAGCCGGCAAGGTTTGAAGCTCTAGACTGTTTACTTTCCTCACTCTCTATTTTCCGGTTTGCCAACTCCTCTCTTCCTATCTCTTGCTGTGATGATCTATCCAGGCAACTCCTAAAAATCGTAGGAGTGTCAGCAAAGGCGGATCCCACCTTGACCTGTCAGTGCTTGTTTAAATGATACATGTGTTTCTAGTGTGAATGTTTTCCTTTGTTGGTTTAATTGTGTATGTAACGTTTTATCTCTAGTGCGGTGGGAGGAGATCACTGTAATAGTACAGATAGACCAATGGTTCCAACTCAAATAGTTTGTGTAGCTCACACAATGGAATGCACTTGATAAGGCACAAAATGACCACAGGAAACGTGCTTAGCTGCAAGTGAACCAGAGAGTTCCCCAACCTCACTTCCTGTTACAGGCCAGAAGAGGTCTAGTGATTTAGCACTGAAACGCCATTCAACAATTTCAACATGTCACTGAAACAACAAGACAAAAAAAGCAACAGAAATAGTTTTTCAAAGCTTTGTCACATCTTAAAAAGTGTCTAAAGACATTTCAAAAGCTAATTTCAAAAATAATTTAATCAAAAAATATATTTTTATAAACACTACTGTTCAAAAATGTGTTGTCAGTAAGTTTTCTTTTTGTTTTTTGTTCTTAAAAGAAATGAGCTTTTATTGAGCAAGGTGATCAAAAGTGATTTGTAAAGACTCGCATTGTTACAAAAGATTTCTATTTAAAAAAAAATGCTGTTCTTTTGAATTTGCCGTTCATCATAGAATTCTGAATTTGAAAAAAATGATCACGGTTTCCACAAAAAAAATTAAGCAGCACAACTGTTTAACATTGATAATAATAAGAAATGTTTCATGAGCAGCAGATTTCATGAGGGAGTGGAAAATAGAAAAATACCACATAGCCAGAGAACGGGAGGAGTAAACATCGTCGTGTGCTCGGTGGAAAAATTAAATATGCACTATAGTTTTAGTATTTTTACTAAAACTATGTAGTATTTTTTGGAAAGAAATGAATATTTTCATTCAGCAAGGATGCATTAAATTGACCAAAAGTGACAGTAAAGACAATGTTACAAATGTTGTTCTTTTGAACTTTCTATTCATCAAAGAATCATGAAAATGATCTGTCAAGGTTTCAACATATCAAGCAGCACAACTGTTTTCAACAATAATAAGAAATGTTTCTTCAAGTCAGCATATTAGAATGATTTCTATATGATTTTCTAATTCTATATTTATGATCGAATATACGCAGCCTTGGTGAGCAGAGACTGAAAACATTTAAATATCTAATTGGCCCAAACTTTTGAACAGTTGTCTGTGTCCCTCATTTCCATATCTTTTTTTTTTAATTGGTTTTTGACGTTATATATTTTCTACTGCTTTTTTTTGTGTGAAATGGGTTATACAAATAGTAACATTTTTACTGTCACTTACATATTTACATATTACATATATATATATATATACATACAGTATTTATATCATATTACTACAAAGTAACTATCTACTCAATGACCATTTTCTTACTGTGACCTGACACAGTTTTTCTTGTTTGTAGGGATGTCTGATTCTAAGTGACGAGTTGAACCATGCCTCTCTGGTACTGGGAGCCCGGCTGTCCGGCTCCACCATCCGGGTCTTTAAGCACAATAGTGAGTTTACACTCACAGGCACATCTCTTATCTTACCATATCTACACAAACACACACACACTCACTCAGTGTTCACAGCTGTTAACAGCACAAGGTAAAGAATGAACTTTTGGTGGAGCTCCAATGCACACAAACCCCGACCCACATCGCTGCATCTGTTTGAGTGGAAGATTAACAGACCTTGACCCATGTTAAAATCTTGAAGGTCTTAAAGTTTAATGAGGTTCCTTATTTGTAGTCTGGATGGTTTTTGGAATTTTTTCTGAATGCCAATTTGGTTAATGTCCAGTCAAACACTATGAATACAAATGTTATTACTGGAAAGGTCAGCTCTCAATCGCAGTTTAGCTGTGTTATTTTAAATGAATCATTTAAATAGGCAATTTGGACAGATGACTGTCTGTCAGTAATTAATAAATGAGCTTCTAAACTGATAAAGTAACTTGAGGTGTGTATGTAATGATCCTTGAAACCCTTGAGTCAGATTGTAGAGGCTTGGGGAAACTTCAGCAGCACTCTGATCACTTATTACTAAAGTGCTCAGAGCAGTTCTCTCACTGACAGTTTGTAATGAATCTATGTGCTGTGGTTTCTTAAATTATGACCAAGGACACGGGCAACAATTTAATACACTATGACCCCAGAAAACCCATAGTTCTCAAATGAGCAATGAACGAAACCAGTAGCTTATGTCACCAATATCCTGCCATTTTAATCTGTATTTGTTATGAAGACACACCTTGCACAAATTTAAAGTAATTATGTAGTTCTTTTACTGTAGTGTAATCTTATGTGTGATCTCATTGTTACACTGCTACAACCAAGGATAGTCTATCTATAGATAAGAAATCCTCTCTCTCTCTCTCTCTCTCTCTCTCTCTCTCTCTCTCTCTCTCTCTCTCTCTCTCTCTCTCTCTCTCTCTTCATCTCTCTCTCTCTCTCTCACTCTCTCTCTCTCTTCTCTCTCTCTCTCTCTCTCTCACTCTCTCTCTCTCTCTCTCTCTCACTCTCTCTCTCTCCTCTCTCTCTCTCTCTCTCTCTCTCTCTCTCTCTCTCTCTCTCTCTCTCTCTCTCTCTCTCTCTCTCTCTCTCTCTCTCTCTCTTCTTTCTCTCTCTCTCTCTCTCTCTCTCTCTCTCTCTCTCTCTATATATCTATATATATATCTATATATATTTTATATTTGTAATGTTTTATATTTTTCTAAGGAATAATAGTTAATTAATAATGTATTATTATCTAAATCCATAGTGTGGACACACACACACATATTTTATTACACACACAAACTTATTTTATAATCGATTAATCGATTTGACAAAATTGTTATGCATATAAAGACTTCAGATGCAAAAGCCTCTAAGTCCGTCTAACGTTTTTCTTTATTATTAACATTTTTATCAGGCTCCCATTTATAGGTTTATACCTAAGTACTGTTATTTCTAAATGGACTGAGGGATTTAGTGAATTTGAAGTGAAAGTATTTGATGAACGGTATTTGAATCCTATGTGCGGAGAGGATTCACTCAATATTATTATCTCATTTTTGACATTGGTGGCTTTTAGAGGCTCTTGCATCGGAGCTCTTCATATATATATATATATATATATATATATATATATGTGTGTGTATATATATATATATATATATATTTATGTATGTGTATACACACAGTATATATATATTTACAAACACACACAGTTAAATTGAACAAAAATGGCAGTAAAGACTATAACATTGTTAGAAATTTTTTTGTTTTTGCTTTGTTCATCAAAGAATCCTGAAAAAGGTATCAATTTCTACAAAAATATTAAGCACCACAACTGTTTAACATTGCTAATAATAAGAAATATTTCTTGAGCACCAAATCAGCATATTAGAATGATTTCTGAAGAATCAAGTGACTCTGAAGACTGGAGTAATGATGCTGAAAATTCAGCTTCGCATCACAAGAATTAATTACATTTTGAAAAAAAAAATGCAGCCTGGTTGAGCATAAGATACTACTTTCAAAAACAGTAAAAAATCTTACAGACGAACTCTAGTGTATTTATCATTAAATTGCAACTATTAACTGCTTATTTTCTTTGTTTTGCACCAGATATGCAGAGCCTTGAGAAGTTGCTCAGAGATGCTATCGTTCATGGCCAGCCCAGAACACATCGACCCTGGAAGAAAATCCTCATTCTTGTTGAGGGCATCTACAGGTGATTAAACACTCTCACTTTCCTGGAATTCATCTCATTCATCAAAATGTGCAATTCTGTACTCCTGTGGTTTTCTCAGGTATGGAACATGTTATCACATTCACATATACACTATATACTGCGCTTTTTACAGTTTAACCATCAAATGAATTGCCACACATTTCAAAGTTTAATCTACTCTAACCGGTCCTTTACTTAGTATGGAGGGCTCCATCATACGACTGCCAGAAGTTATAGACCTGAAAAAGAAGTACAAGGCATACCTTTACCTGGATGAGGCTCATAGTATTGGGGCATTAGGACCGAGTGGTCGAGGGGTGGTGGAGTATTTTGGACTGGACCCCAAAGATGTAGACATCATGATGGGCACCTTCACAAAGAGCTTCGGTGCATCTGGTGGATACATAGGAGGGAGGAAGGTATGAAGTTCAAGTGCCAATTTGTAATTGCAAGCAATTTCTGACCAATAGCAGAAGCCCAAACAACAACTTGTTTATATACTCCCTTTATATTTTATATATTAAAAAGGTTTAACAAATATACACTACCGTTCAGAAGATTGTGGCTTCTTTTGTAAACCTCACAGCTACAGTTGACTTACAGTATATACAAAGCCTACAAAATATTTAGGCATTTTGAAACTGTAAGGGTTGTTTGGTTTCATTGTATTTTTGGTTACGTTTACACATCAGCAATGTACTAAAAATGTTTCGTGTACAGACGACAACGTTGTCAAAATGATCCCCGTTTACACGGATCCACGAAAACGACTGAAAACACTGTATTATACTGCCAGGGCAGTAGTTGGCGATGTCACTTTGTTAAGAAACTCTATGCACCTATAGACTAAACATGTAATACGCATGATGCACATGACATCACCGTTTTCACAAATTTGTGTTTTTGTAGTTTACATGGAGACGATTACGTCATCGTTTTCAAAAATTCAATTTTCAGGCCCCAAAACTCTGTTGTCAAGTAAATTAACGGCAAAAACGCATAAAACGCCGTTTTAATTAAAAATGGTGTTGGGTAAATGGTCCCTTAGTTTTGATCTGTCCGCTTGTGTTCCTAATTGGTTACTCTGGTTACTTATGAGTTACACACCTGTTCTTTATTCCGTTGATTAGCCCTGCACATGTTTAAGTGCTTAGTTTCCCCTCGGGTCTTTGTTCGGTGTCATCTATGTTTATCGTGGTTCTGTTTCTAGTTTATTCCTGTGATTCGCCTGTGTGTTCCTTGTTGAATTTATTATTAAAGACTGTTAACGTTACTCATTTGTCATGCGCTTCATTACAGCCACACCCTGACAGAAACGTCTTTTCATCCTTTAGGATTTGATAGACTACCTGCGAACTAACTCTCACAGTGCAATTTATGCCACCTCCATGTCGCCTCCTGTCTTGGAGCAAATCATCACTTCTATGAAGTGCATTATGGGAGAGGATGGAATGACAATAGGTGAGCTTTACTAATTTTTCTTAACTTTGGTCATGCTTTCTTTTAAGAATCTGAGGCACCCAAAAATAAATACTGTCATTATTTACTCACCCTAATGCCATTCCAAACCCATATGATTTTATTTCTTCCATGGAACACTAAGGTAGAAATTGAGTACAATAATGGCCTCTTTTTACCATATTAATGTTAATGAATGTGAATTGAAGCTTTCTAGCTTTAAAAAGGAGAAACCGCATAAAAGTTACATTAAAGTGGTCTACATGAAGATAGCTTTATGTGAGAAACGGACTGAAATTTACATTTAAAAAAAATAATAATAATACAATCACACAGGTTTAAACATTGGATTAAGTATATAATGACAGACTTTTAATTTTTGGGTTATCTCTTGAAGGTCTGTATAATATTTGTCAATCGTGTTGTTGGGTGCACCACAAGGTGGCAGGATTGACCCAAAAATAGATAATCAGCTTGCATGGATGTACTATGGATGGTCATTTATATGTGTCCATTTCTTTACCTGGTAGAATATATATATATATATATTTTTTTTTTTTACACTAATGTGCCATGCTAGAACTTGCATATTGCAACAGCTAATTCATGTGGCACAGATACAAATCAAAATGCCAGATATGATATCACATGGATGTTGTATCACTATAGATCAAGAGTCATTTGTTCTGTTCACAAGATGAAGGTGTTATAGGCTTAGCAAAATCAGCCCAGCCTTCAATCACCAATATGCTTTTTTGGTTACACTTTATTTGGTAACACTTTATTTTACAGTGTCATTGTTACATATGTTACATGTAATTACTATAGTAATAACTATACATTATGCATAATTACATGCAACTAACCCTCAGTTAGTTAACAGTACGTATATGTAGTTAATCATTATTACTCGGTACTTAAATGTATAATTACACTGTAACAACGACACCTTAAAATAAAGTGTAACCCTTTATTTTAAGGTGTCATTGTTACAGTGTAATTATATATTTAAGTACTGAGTAATATTAAGTAACTACATGTACTTACTTTAGGGTTAGGGTAGGATTAGGATTTGGTTGAGGGTTAGTTGCATGTAATTATGCATAATTTATTGTTATTGCTATGGTAAGTACATGTAGCATATGTAACAAGGACACTGTAAAATAAAGTGTTACTGCTTTTTTTTTTTGGTTTAGCAATCAGTCGTTTAGTAAACACATACCCTGTCCTCCTCCTTATGTAATTTCCTGTTCTCATATATAGTACATCTGCACATCATTGACTGAAAAGCGTCCCTTTACTTTGTCAACTCCATTGTTCTTGTCTTTGCTTTATCGACTGTTTTATTTCACTGTGAAAATACAATCTTTAGGTTTGTTTGCTCTGTGCGCTGTGGATAAACTTGGCCCAGAAATTGAAATAAGTGTTTCTCGAGGATCGCTTTGAAGTGAGACGTTGGGGGAGATCTGTCGATGTGAGATTTTTCTTCATACAATTTCCCAGCGCTCATAAAATGTGACTGATTAGTTCAACAGCTGTACACAAACTCCGTCCAGGTAAAATATTTAGCTCAAAGTTTAAACCTCAAAAATGTGTTAACAATTACCCATGTAACTAGTGTGATCTGGCCCTATGGTTAGACCCACCAAACTGCCTCTTTTCCTCTCTGCCACTCAATCAACGTCGGCAGCTACAACAAACAGGCTCGGGCCCAGGTGAAGTGCTCAATATGACTAATATGAGTATAACTTTGCTTGGCTGAGGGCTATTTTCATCTCCCCACAAAGACTTATTGTTCCCATCATCCTTGAAGATGTCTCCTGAGAATATCTTGCTGTCTCCCAGTGACTTTTCTCTTCTCATTCACCTGCTGATGGACTTCCTGACTTTCACCAGCATCCCACATTGATGCGAAAAACTCTAGACTGTTGATTTATGAGATTGTCCTGCTCTTTCTGGCATTAGTAAGGTGTTTTCTTTATATAATTATTCATACGTGTTATTTATTTTAGTGTTATTCATTTTTGGGGATTTTTTTTTTATCACTTGGAACAGAAAACCAATCATTCTTTTTACATTTTTTTATACACCCTTCTATTTCATAAATTCAGTATTTATCCAGAAGTTCAAAGAATTGCTTTGCAACATTATTTGAATACGATTGGGGCTTTTTAGGTGCACACAGTAATAACAGGTTACCGATTAACCGATGACATTTATTGTAGATTAACTGATATTGGAGCATGCGAGAGTGAGAACAAAGGTAGACCCAAACAATCAGAGTGTTTGTGTGGGTTTGTTGGGGGTTGATGCACAAAGAAAACTAATCAAGCAAAGGTCAACTGGGAGACATCCTGTGTATCCTTATGGGAACTGAAACCTTTTCGTTCCCTCTTTCTATGGTCCTTTCATTCTGTGACCCACTCCGGCCGCACTTGTTCTGTTCTGTTTTACCCATAAGTCAGTGGCAGTCATGTTTGATTTGAAGCCTCCAGCACTGTATTGATCTGACAAGTGACTTCAGTGTGAACAAATTGCCTCCAGCACTCATTTACTGCCAGGCTGCCAAGTTCTATTCTTTCATAACATGCCATTTAATTCCACTTTTACTATTAAAACAAAGATTCCAATCACAGTTTTATAGCTTATGCAATATTAAATAGTTTCAATAGTTCTTGAAGACAATTTGACACCTACTTAATTCATATGCCCAGTTTGTTTTGGATGTCATACTTGGAGGTTCACTGTTCACTGTGGTGATTTCTTCATCATCAGGATTACTGTTGCATAAAGTTGCTGTTCATTTGTTCTAGTTATTCATTTGCATTCGTCCTTTCCTCCATGCACAATGCAAAAATCCTATTCTCAAGGAGTATTGTCTTATTTTCCGGTTAAAGTATCTAATAATCTTTAAAAGAAGATCAGCTGTGAAGCAACACTGTGTACAATATTAAGACTTAATAAGATTTAGACAGTGTATCTTTTATTTTCAATGTAATTGTATTTTATCTAATTGATTTTTCCCCCACTTGTTTTAAGTATAAACCTTTTAAAAACAAGTGAAAGTCAGTGCAGTGAGAGAAAAAACACTTATTTTTAAGATAATGAAAACAAATCTTAAAATCTCATGCATCGTTGCTTCTCAAATAATTGTATCTAGTTTTAACGATTTTTAAATATTTTTACTAGAAAACAAGTTAATTAAATTTTTATTTTTTTTGCTTTTTAATGAGGCAGTTTGTCCTGGGCTGGCCTACATTTTCAATTCATTTATTGTTCCTGAATACAGATGCAGATGCTTTCACAGTCTAGTGGTTTCACAATCCGACGTGTCCCTGGCCCGAGGGGAAATACAGTTTTCTTTCGATCAGATCTGGCTTTCAAACCATCCAAAACTCCTGGCGTCCCCACACAAACATATGCAGTTGAGAAATATGCATTGCCTTGTTTGTTCTCAGGAGAAAATGAGCTCAAAGAGAGAATTCGGAAGATTCTGCCTCGTAAATCACATTAGTTACCTAAGTTGGCATTTTTATCTTGCCGTAGTGTGTGTTGACTGGCATACCTGATCTCATTGTTAAGCCTGATTACTTCTCTGTACACACAGGCGGACTCGACAAACACTGGACATTCATCTTTGTTTTGAGGTGTTGACTTGCTCTGTGAGAGAGGGCAGATACACATGTTTTAGGTGTAAGAATGTGTTTACCCACCCCCCCTTAGAGCAGGGTAATGGATTGTTATTCCAGATGTTATGATGTGCTTCTGTTTCTTTGACACTTCCATTGTTGTGCAAGTATTTCAGACCAACAGACCTACCAGCATCCAACCTGCAACATCTAATTGAATAATGCAAATAATTGACAACAGACTTCATTATCAATTTATTATAGGATCTTTGCACGCCGCACACAGAAACTCTGACTGTACACTCTTACAAATAAAGGTTTATTGGAATCGATGAGTCCACAAAGAACCTTTAACATCCATGGAACTTCTCCATTCCACAAAAGTTTCTTTATAGTGGAAAAAGGCTCTTTAGATTATTAAAATGTTCTTTACACGAAGAAAAAACATGGTTCTTTTGTACTAAGAATACCAAGTGTATTGTCTCTTTAAAGTAGCGGAAAATGCATTTCTATGGAAAAACACATTTGAAAAATAGAGGCAGTTGCTCTGTCAGGTGCGTGTGCTGATTAATGTACTTGAGAAAGGGTTTTTCCCTGCAGATATTAAAAATTCAGTTTCATTTTTGCAAAGAGGCACATCCTTGGCAGCAATTGCGCATCATACGCAGTGCAGCAGAAAGAAAGGTACAATAATGTTGATCATTTTTTGTTGGACATTAAATTTCGCTTTTTTAAATCGACAACATGTAATTGAAATGTAGCATGTAAAGCAAATAATAGTATTTTATGAATATAATAACTTGAGTGAATGTGGATGGCTGTGAAAAGAATCAACCTGTAAACAGGTGTAAAATCCCCATTCACTTTCCGCTGACTTGGATGGTAACATCAGGATCGGGGACAGCTGCTAGCTAGTGAGCACCATCATAGACCCATGAATGATTGAGGCCACAGATTTGAGCCTGGAAGGATCTGCTGTGCTTCCTGTTGCCCTTCTCCTGAGAGGTCCTTGTAAGGGGCGAGGAGGCTTTCGGCACGTCAGCCGCCTCTCAACTCCATACTGGTGCTTTTACTTATCTCCTCCCTTCAGATGAAAAGGAAGTGAGAAGGAACTGGGGTTTCAAAAAAGGGAAACAGTCCCCACATCTGGAAGCTCTTTTGGTCCCTTTCGCTGCCTCTTTCGCTTCAGATCCTCCAGCTCTTGGTCTGGAAGAAGTTAGCGGGGGTGTGCGTTGTGAAACTAGCTGTTGAAAAGGTACCCCAGAAAGATTTACTTTGGAGACTCGTGCTCCACCTCGGTGCACTCGCCCTCCCCCAACGCCCTACGGCCCATGCTTGCTATCTCAATGGCCCAATGTTGGGCAGCTTGAACTTCCATTAATGGCTATTGCTTTCAGATGCTCATTTTCATAGAGTTGTTCACCTGAGCTGTTTGCGTAGCTGATCAATTCTCTTTAGCCATTCATTAGAACCTCCACAGCATCCTCAATTGTTAGGGGTGTCAAACATAAGAGCCACGATTTAACTCTGTCTTCCTGATTGTCTCCAACCTTGGTTGATTTATTCTCATCAGGTTCCTGATTCAGCTACTTCTTACTACTTACACTGTTAAAAAAACAAACAATATAAATTTCATTGAAAATATTGTTTTATTTTGTTCCGTTTTGAATATTTGTTTACATTTTTTAAATATCTTAAAGGATTAGTTCACTTCAAAATAAAAATTCTGTCATCATTTACTCATCCTCAATTTGTTTCAAACCTGTATGAATTTCCTTCTTCTGCTGAACACACAAACAGTAGTTGGACCACATTGACTTCCATATTATTATTTCTTCCTACTATTGAAGTCAGTGGGGCTCATCAACTGTTTGGTTACCGACATTCTTCCAAATATAATCCTTTGTGTTCAGCAGAAGAAAGAAATTCATACAGGTTTGAAACAACTTGAGGATGAGTAAATGATGACAGAATTTTTATTTTGAAGTAATCTATTCCTTTAATGCTCAGTTTGAGCATCATTTCAAAAATTAAACCAGTAAAAGTTCAAGAGCTTCTAAGAAAGACTAAGGTTTAATGTTGATTAAATTGCTCCAAATTTATAAATGCACACTACCGTTCAAAAGTTTGGAGTCGGTGAGATTAAAAAAAGAAAAAAAAAGAAGTCACTTATGTTCTCCTAGGCTGCATTTACAGTATGTGATCAAAAATACAGTAAAAACAGCAATATTGTGAAATATTGGTAACACTTTACAATAAGGTCTAATTTGTTAACATTAATGTATTAACTAACATGAACTAACAATGAGCAATACATTTGTTACAGTATTTATTAATCTTTGTTAATGTTAGTCAATAAAAATCCAGCTGTTCATTGTTTGTTCATGTTAGTTCACAGTGCATTAACTAATCTTAACAAATACAACATTTGATTTCCATAATGTATTAGTAAATGTTGAAATGGACATTAACCAAGATTAATAAATGCTGTAGAAGTTCATTGTTCATGGTCAGTTCATGTTAACTAAAGTAGTTAACTAATGAAACCTTATTGTGAAGTGTTACTGAAATATTAATTCAATTTGACTCTATTGCAATGTATCTTAAAATATAATTTATTCCTAATTAATTCTCCGCATCATTACTCCAGTCTTCAGTGCCACATGATCCTTCAGAAATCATTCTAATATGCATTTCTTAACATTCCTTATTATCAGTGTTAAAAACAGTTTTTTTTTTTTTTTTAGAAACTGGTACTTTTGTGGATTTTTTGAACAGAAAATAAAAAAACAGCATTTTTTGAAATCTTTTGACTTTATAATGTATTCACTGCAACTTTTGATCAATTTAACACATCCTTTCTGTTTAAACTCTTACAGAAAGCCACTGACCCTAAACTTTTGAACAGTGCTGTATGTTTTTATTCGTTGAAAGTGTTTAATTTAAACTGGAACTACAGAAATATTGATATGAATGAAAATATGATATTAATTAAATAAACTATCTGTGAAACACAAAAGAAGATATTTAGAAAAAATCACCAGGAACGAAATTGGGCTTCCAGTGTGTTAATCACTACACATTGGCCTGGCTTAACTTCCTTACCACAGAGCGGCTGACCCGGTCATGACTCGTGGAACCTTCCTTTATCTGTCACTGGCCAATTTACATTGGGGGATTGAGGAAGGAGTCCAGTTTCACAGTCAGTCAAGTCTCCTTTCACAAGGGCTCATCAGATAGAACCCCAATAGCCCTGTCATATTGACGTTTTTTTTTCCTTTATGACCGTTGTTTTGCAAACCCAGTAAAAAGCAGAATTTTACAAGGCCAGACAGAATGTTAAGTCATAACAGCAACCTTGTAGTTGTGTCACCCTACAGGCACGACAAGAATGACAATTGCTAGATTTTTGGCGTCTGGATGACACTGGGGTGAGACATTGTCACAGAGCAGGAAATTCCTCTGTTCAAGCTTTTAGCACGCGTGGAATGTTTGACGAAGCAGAAACAAGGCTTTCAGAAACGTAAGACCTTTTAGCATGGCTCTCAGAACACTGCGATGGACGAAGTGTTTTAAGAGCTCCATTGATGTGGATCACTACGCAATCCTCCCCCAGGGAACATACGTCCCACTTCAAGTGGGAGCTGTTGAAAAATCAAGACGGTCATTTTCCTCTTTTCGTCAGGACCATTGCGGAAGATTGTTTGGAGTATAATTCTCATTACCGTGTTCTTCCGCACCGATCACGCATTGCTGACTCTTGTAACCTGTTTAGCTATCTGATTTAAATCTCTCTGGCATTAGACATCAAGTTTTGATGGATCTGAATTGTGATAAAAATCACTTTGGAAACATAGATAGTAAACATCTGATACTTTTTCTGTGTGCAAATAGCATGTGCCTTGATATCGCGGGGGGAAAGTTAAAATGTGGTATAAAATCAGCAGGTTTTAAATATTTTTTTTCTTGAACAGTTTCAGATCTAAAGATCGTGGAGGCTTAAGTATAAAGTTTATAGCTCAGGTGGTCGACTTTCCTAGTATCTGAAGTAATGAGTTTTGTGGCTTGGTGAATTTTAATTGTCTGATCGCATGAAAGGCTGTGGAAAAAGATGTGGAGTGCCAGATGACAGAATCTCACTTTGTTTTTTTCCCTATGTTTTGGGTGCGTTTCTTGATTTCAGGCCGTTCTCGTATCCAGCGGTTGGCTGAAAACACAGTCTATTTCCGTAGGAGACTGCGGGAGATGGGATTCATCATCTATGGCAACAATGACTCACCTGTGGTACCCATGATGCTCTACATGCCCGCCAAAATCGGGTTAGTCTTTTCCTCTCAGTCTTTCTCCAATCTCTCAGTATAATCCTATATAGTATTAAAGGAATAGTTCACAAAACAATTCTTCACACTCATGTCGTTCCAAACCCATATGTTGGTATTTTGTTCAAAGGAACCCAAAAGGAGAAATTTTGAATAATTTCCAACTGCCAGTACATATTACATAGCTTTTAAAAAGGTCATAAAATATACTATACAACTTCTAAAACGTATGCACTGTATTCCAAGTCTTTTAAAGCCTCATGATAGCTTTGTGTGATGAACAAGCCAAAAGTGAAGTATTATTAAAAGTGAAAGTCAATTATTTGAATTGTCTTCCAAAGACTTCTATAGTGTATGGCGTTCATCCTTTTCAGCATTCATCCTTTGAGTTTCAATGCTATTATAGTAATTATTAATATTTTATTCATTATGTCATTTTAGTACTTAGTAACTTTATTTATTTCAGTAGGTTTCCAAGGCAAATTTTCTAATTTAAGTTTATATTCATCATTTATATTTTTCATCTAATATTTATATTTTATTTTAGCTTTATTTGCATTTCCAAAAATGACGTGAGTGAGTAAAGATTGACAGAAATTTGTGGGTGAACTATCTCTTTAAAGTAATATTATTGATGACAAATTTCTTGTTTAACGAGATTTCAGGTCTATAACTGTCCAAATGAATCCAAATGTATATATTACACTCGTAATCGATTCATAATAGTCCCTCATAATAGAACAACAACAGGGGAAAGCTTAGTTTGGAAGGAACTTCTCGAAAATTGATGAGGCCGTGTGTGTGTTTCCAGGGCGTTTGGTCGGGAGATGTTGAAGAGAAACATTGGAGTAGTGGTGGTGGGCTTCCCAGCCACGCCGATCATAGAGTCCAGAGCCCGCTTCTGTATCTCTGCGGCCCACTCCAAGGAAATGCTGGACAGGGTAACTACTCATTTTCTCGCCACAGTGAATACATCCAATAATTTAGTTTACTTCAAAGCAGCATTTTACACTTCTTTTACTGGCCTTTGTTTCTCATGCCATAAATTTTGGTGTTTACAATGGAATATGTTGACTTAATGGAAAAAACACTATGAGCTTTTGATGACATGCTGATGTTAAAGTCAAAGTACAGAGCCCCATACGGTGAATTTGGTTGAAATGTGCTTTGCATTTCAAAAAAGATGGATGAAAGGATGACTTTCAACAGGAATTAGACCAGAAGCGTCTGTAAGACTCTGTATGTTAAGTTCAAACCCCTGTCCATCAATCTTCTGAAATGAAGTATCTCAAACTTGATACACCCTTTATGTTTGAAAATAATCACTGTCGAAAGAATTCCAGGCTCCTCCTCAAACTGTCCTGTGCTATAAATTAACGCAGGTCTCGACTGAGGCCGTTTACATAAGCAGCGCCTGCCACAGGGGTCTGCACTGGCAGGAGATCAAAGAGCATCTTAATCTGCCTCCCCAAGGACACTTTGATTTAACTATGGTGAAAAGCACACAGGCCGTCGGCCCCCTTCCCCGTGCTTAAGAAAACACTATGTACTTTGATGTGACCGGTTATCACGTCGACACATTTTTGAGTGTCCTTCTGACATGTTTTCTTGCATTTCTTCCATTGCTGAATAACTAAGATTGTATGAAGTGCGTAACAAAAGTTTTTAGGGATGGGCATTTTTAAAGGAAAAATTGTGATAAAATATGTGTTTGACTTTTGGTGATATTTAGTATATATCTTGATTTATGTATTTGTCCTTTATTCTTTTATTTGATATTTTCTACTTGTTTTTTATTAGATGAACCAATATTTCAAGCAAGCAAGTATTTTAACATTTTTAATGCAAGTTTTAAAGGGATACTCCACCAAAAAATGAAAATTGTCATCATTTACTCACCCTCAAGTTGTTGCAAACCTGCACGAGTTTCTTTCTTCTGCTGAACACAAACTGTTGAACACAAATTGTTTGGCACCATTGACTTCCATAGTAGAAAAAAAATTACTATGGAAGTCAATGGTGCCAAAGTTCCAATCGCTCTTCAAAATATCTTGCTTTGTGTTCAGCAGAAGAAAGAAACTCATACAGGTTTGCAACAACTTGAGGGTGAGTAAATGATGACAGAATTTTCATTTTTGGGTGGAGTATCCCTTTAAAATATTGTAAAAACTAAAATAAAATTAGTAATCTAGATTTGACTAAATGAACACAGAAGAATATTTCAATTAAAAAAATAAAAATATTAGTATTCATTTGTTTTATTAATATCCACCAAAATGAAGTGTATCAACAATTTTGCTGTAATATACAGTGTTGGGGTAACGCGACTTACGTAATCAGATTACTTAGCCTGCGCTGTTGCCTGCTGTACTGAAAGACACACTCCTAATGGTTGGAGAAGTCCACCCGGTCGCTTACGTCGAACATTGGTTCATCAGATTGGTGACGGTTCCATTTCCTCTCTTCTACATGAATGGAACCTCACCATCGGTCGTGGTCATTCGTCTCACATGTTGATGACTTGATGGATGGATGTTGAGAGAAATCGAATACGATAAGAAGAGATGTCAAGGCTTTTATAAAAACTTTTGATGCAAACAAATCATTGAATCAAAGTTTTGAATCAGTTCATTGAAAGTTTATCCTGAATCCAACCCACCTAATGCGGTTTTTGCAACAGAAGTTTAAATCCGAGACCCTAGTAAAATGCTCTCATGTTTGTGTAACAAGACAAATTATTCTAAAAAGCACTTTAAAATCATTTTAATATTCACAGTGTTGCTCAGTTAATCATTGTGAATGTACGGTGAATATAGAAAATGTTGATTCGCTCTACTGCATATTGTCTTATATTTCTTTTGAAAATGAACAGGTTTCCTTAATAATTGCCTTTTATGATGTTTCATAGTAACTTGAACTAGAAATAATGCAACTAGCATCTCCACGACTATATTATAACAAACTTTTAAAGTACTGCATGGTAGGTGGCAGCCGTTTCTCAGCATTAGCATGTTATGACTTACACGTGTAACCATGAAAGTAATGAGGCATGTTGATTGTTTTCAGGCGCTGGATGTGATCAGTGAAGTAGGCGATCTGCTGCAGCTGAAGTATTCACGGCATAAAGTTCTTCCCTCATTGGACCGGCCCTTTGACGAGACCACATACGAGGAGAACGAAGAGTGACATACTTCCTATCTGAACCAAATGTGCACTGCTCATCTTCTGCTCTTCGAAAGGAGGCAGTGAACCACTTAATAAATATAACCTTTTTTATACTTAGGTATATCATCTTTATTTTAAAACTCTGAACATCTACAACAACACACTGATGCTTTTAGAAAAAGAAATGCACCTCAGTATCATTTTGATGTGAGGTTTTGTGTCTGTTTTTAACTCATTGTGGCATTCGTTTAGAGAAATAAATACTTCAATTTTTCAGGCCAGCCACACTGAAGCCATATGTCACTGCAGCCCTCAAACCATTTTTTTTCCCCCTCCAGTAAGTGAGAACAGACAGGCAGCGAACCCATAATTCCGAGGATCTTGACCTATGAAAGGAATTACAGGTTCTTCGTATTGCATTGTCAGTACATTCACTGGGTTACCTTAATCAAACTCCAAAAGCTCCACAACCTGGCTCTCGAGATGTTGTTTTTTCCACAGATTTTGACTTGCGGCCAGCTCCGGTGTCTTGCTTCAATCTGGCTATCGTTTTTCTTGTGTTAACGGGATATTTATTTTTTCATCAAGATACAAATCGCGGAGGGCGATGTTGGTTATGTCTGAGGGAAGATTAGGTAGAAACCTGCATATTTATCAAATTTTCACCTCTGAGGAAACTTGGATGCTGATTATATGCATTATCGCCAAAGTTTCAGCACAAGTTGTGCGGTAGGATTCCAAAATCTAATAGAAAGTATTACTTTAAATGCTTGTTGGTTTATTTTTGATCAATATGCAAAACTTTGATAACCATTTTAATGGTGACTTATAAGTTCAATGCCATGAATAACTAATAATATTGCTCTCTATCAAGAGAGTTTACTCTAGTTGTATAAGCTTCCCTCAGTAATGACTGAAGTTCATTGTCTTGTGATTTCCAAAGTCTTAACACTTTTCAGTTTATGTTGTATGTGTTTCTCTAATGTACATATTTATTTATTATTCATGCTTCATATCTTTTATTGTTGTAGAAGTGTACTTTAATCATCAACGGCAGCTCCAGATGCCTCTCATTTGCACATGCTCTCAGTGCACATACTACTGATGAGTATTTTTATATCATTTTGTTGTTCCCAGCAAAGCATGTGGGATGTAATCACCGAATCGGCTGGTTTATGAAGCTTTAAAGGTGCTGAACTGTACACTCTATGTTCTGTTTTGTGGCTTCTGTTGCTTTGGTCTTGTGAGTTCGTATGTTCTCCCATGTTTAGCACAAGCCTTTTATGACATCAAAATCCAGGGATATTTCTTTTTATCATAACCTTTTTTTTCTATATATATATATATATATATATATATATATATTGAGAGATGTTTAAAAAAGCAAAGGATGGGAACAATCTTTTTTTTTCTTCTTGATATTAAAAACACTGGCATTTAAGAAAGTAATGATTGATCCAAAGACTTCTAGTTCTGATAAAACACATGATTTACCAGTACATTCAATGTATGTGTTCTAATAGGATTGGATTTTGTTTGGACGCTCGTTTGGATTTTGCTGCCTGTAGTACATACTGTTTTTAAGACCTACTTTTGAATCAAAGTACACTGTGGGCTTCATCAGTTCAGGAGTTGTTTTACTAAGGAAATTAAATTACAATGATTAAATGTATTGTTAAGGTCTTTTGTTTCTTTTTCTCACTTTGAAATTTTTGACATTTCCTGACTCATTAAGAATTAAATTATATCGGTAATCCAGTGGCTGCTAGATTACAAGTGTGATAGTTTTGAATTTACCTCTGAGGTCTTCATATAAATGACCACATTAGAGAAAACATACTGTAAGATTCATGGAATTGAAGGTTTTACACAACTCTGCTTTACTTTGATTTACACAACTCACAAAAATGTTATATAATATTGAGACGTGAGTTTTATCATTTATATTATATTTGAGCAAAAATGATGAAAAAAAATTAAACAACTTTTAATAAATGTATACTTTATAATTATATTTAATTTATAAATATCTTATAATATAAAATATATACATATGCTGCCGTTCAAAAGTTTGTTCTTTGTACGATTTTCAAAGTCTCGGCTCAGCAAGGATACATGGATTTGATCACAAAAACAGCAATATTGTGAAATATGAATACAATTTAGAGTAACTATTTTAATATATTTTAAAATGTAATGTATTTTCAGCATCATTACTCCAGTCTTGAGTGTCACATGATCCTTCAGAAATTATTCTAATGTAGGCTACAGATTTGGTGCTCAAGAAACATTTCTTGTTATTATCAGTGTTGAAAACAGTTGTCCTGCATAATATTTGTGTGGTAACTGATATATTTTTCATGAGTTGAAAGTTCAAAAGAACCGCATTTATTTAAAACTGAAATCTTTTGTAACGTTACTTCACTGTCGTTTTTGATCAGTTTCGTGTACTCTTGCTGAATAAAACTGTTTACTCTCAATTTTGATCAATTTAATGCACCCTAACTGTAAAACAAATCTTATGATCAATAAGTTATTACAACGTTTGCTTTTACGTTGCTTTAACTCGTCAAAAATAAGTTAAGCAATTTTCCACTTTTTGAAGATTCAACTCAATTTTTAAAGTCAGTTTAATGTCATTTTAGTTGAAATAGCTTAAACATTCAAGTTAACTGTACTTAATTTAAGGCAGCAAATTCCTTTTTTTTTTTTTTACTTTGATTTGATTTGATTTTGGTTTCACTTTATTTTGAGACCCTTTACCTTTAACACATTTTGGTCCCTTTAACACATTCTGTTGACTAAGTACGCTGCACCTACATGTCTACTTAACTCTCATTAGTGTTAGAGTATTACTATAGGGTTACAATAAGTTGATGTAGTTGCAAAGTTACTACGGTAACGCTTCCTTTTACAGTCCTGTTACCCATGTACATACTATGTACTTATACAGTAATTACAATTACTGGGTAATAACTAGATACTAACCCTGAACCTACCTCTAACCCATGTACTTACCTTATATTAGCCAGTACTTTCTAGGTAAGTACACTGTAAGTACACGTAAGTACTGTACTGTAAAAGGAAGCGTTACCGTTACTTAGTCAGTAGAATGTATGTTGGAGAACCATCACAATAAAGAATTAGCAGAAATTAAGCAGACCATCTACCAATACTCTAATGAGAGTTAGTTGACATGTAGTTGCAATTTGGATGTCATTTATAGTCAAAAAAGAATGTTAAAAAGTTTTTGTTTTTTTTATCTTATACTGACCACAAACTTTTGAATTATAATATGAACCAAACATGATGTCTCAGATAGGCTACGCCAAAACATTTTTCTTCTCTGGGTCTCTTGAGGATTTTATACCCCACGCGGCTTCATTCATTCATTCATTCAGTCAGTCACTGTGGGGTTATATGAACCCCTCCTCCAGAGACGTCACACAAGCGGAGGTAGATGAATGTCTCATCCAGCCAGTGAATTACTGAAGGTCCTTTACCACAGTACCTGCATGAGGTGTAGACGTCTGTGTGCACCACAGAGCATCATAGACCTGCATTCACGGGTAGCGAGGATTGATGTTCTTCGCGCCTTGGAGCTTCAGTTGTTCAGTGCGCTCCGCGTGACGCGTGATTGAGGAGCTATCCACTGCAGAATCAGACTGTTCTTCATACATATACACTGGATAGAGGCGAACTCACTACACATGGAAGATAATCCGAAGAACTCCGAGAGGAATGTTGAAGTTTGGGAACTGCTGAAATGCGTTTGGAAACCACGAACCTCTCAGAGTCAGAGGATCTGAGGGACACGCGGACATGACTCTTGAAGGCTGTTCTGTTGCTCACTGAGAATCTGCTGAGCATGTTTAATGTCTTTCTGACGTTTTAAATGGATTGGTTTTATATGAGGGATGGAAAGAGACACAAATGCACCTTGGAACTGAAGAGGATTGAGTGCAGTTCGTAGCAACATATCAAAAGTGGTGCATAATTGCAAAACATTGTAAAAGCTCTTTATTATTATTTTTACGAAGTCATGCTGATTCGAAGCCAAGCTCTACGGTGGGCCATTTTTTTGACACTTTGTCTTCTCTTGGCGAAGGGGTTCCCTGCAAAAGGACGCAAAGCAAATCACATCAAGAGCAAGAGTGGTACATCTATAGAGGTATGGTTTCAATGACTGACACTTAAAAAAAATTGTTATTAGTCAAGTTTTTAAGATTTTTTTTAACATATCATTTTACAGTAATAGCAGAGTTGATTCATTTTAAAATTAATTGCTTTATCTCATATCACAACTTACAAATTAATTAGTCAGAAAATCCTAAATAATAATAATATACAACTACATATAACTATATATATATATATATATTTAAATATATATAGGCTATATATATATATATATATATATAGTCTATTAATTTCAGTTTAGATCCAGGATCAAAGTTGCTTCATGGATGGTTTTTGATCCCATTAGCACTTATTGTACATTTTAAAAGAAGCTATACTGAAGTTACAGAAGATCAAATTAACTTGAATGACATTTGAATCTTTTTCAACATATGATGGTTTTAGATCTCTAAGGAATAATTATTACCCCCGGTTTCACAGACAAGGCTTAAATCTAGTCCCATGTTTGAGCTGGTTAAACTGAAAGCAACTTGCACTGAGATATCTTTAAATATGTCAGTGCCACTGTTTTGTCACTGTCTCAAGATGCACACCAGTAATGTTTTTAAGGCATGTTTATAAAAGCTATACTTAAATGTCCTAATTGAACTAAGGCATAATCCTGGCTTAATCTAAACCCTGTCTGTGGAACCAGACCTTAATGTTCCAGATTATGGCCATCTTGGTCATAGATGTTCTGCAAATCAAATCAAATCAAATCACAATAACTGCCTGTCAGCCTGTGAAATCTTTTGTCACCTGATTAGGTATTTCAACCAATAAGGAAGACCTAGATGTCAAACAGGGTAAAATGTCACATGGGCTATAGTCCAGTAACTATACCATCCAATTAAACATATGTGTTTCTATACATTTTAACTGAAAGAACTCAAGACGAGGGTGTCTGTCATAAATGTATGGTCATGAAAAATTGTCAAGTTGTTTTTTTAAAAGGATATATTTATGAATTGCAATATTAGTAGGCCAGAACTGTGATTTGATCTCTTCCCGCTCTCTTCTACTATGCTTCAAAACTCAATGAATTTAAAGGAGTTTTCATAGAGCATAAGGTGTCAAATAGGTATGAATCTTTTTATTACATCATATCATATCATATCATATCATATATCCAGAAATAACCAGAATAAAGTTTATTAGAGGTCAAACCACACTGAAAATACAGTTTCCATAGTTAATGTGTGCTTAATGTCTGGAATGGCGGGGTGGTTAATTTTATGCATCTGTTAAATGATAAACCACAGTTCATAGGTTGTTTTGTGTATTTAATTCATTAATTTCTCCTTCAGCAGCAAAGTGAGGTCACACTGACTCCTGGGTTATGCTGTGACTTTTTTTCATGGATCAGCTTTATGGAGTGTTAACGCAGAGAGGAAATGCAAACCCACCCCAGGCTGCCTTTTAATAGTCATTTCCCCTATGAAAAGAATTTTGAACATAAGTCCACTATCCTAGATGTAAAACTAAGGCCCCTCTTACATGTGCATGTGAATCGATCAATATAGCAGATACTCGACTCACTACGCACAACCTGAGCGGGGGGTTAAGAACACATCTTGCTCAAGGGTGAGAAGATCTGACAGAAAGCAGAACAGTATGCGGCGATACTCGGGTGATACAAGACTGTCTTTGTGCACTGTCTGAAAACATCACGTCTCCCCCACCTTTTAAGCCAACTGGGAAAGATGTTTTTATTAAAGTAGCCACCGGGGTTCAGGCAGACATGGGAGGGCCATTGTTTCCCCTGCGCAACAGGAAGTCTTTGCTTTACACAAAAATGGACACTTACTAATCAAAACAGCCAGCTGGAATCCAATATGCCACGCTCTTATAAAATTGCATAGGGTCGGATAGGAGTTCAGTGGCCTTGGTGCTATAATTGATAAGCCCAATAATCACAGGGCTGTTCCTCTCCTCGACCCAAGCAGACACCAATTCCACAAATGGCGCCAAATTCTTGAGCCCCGCTCTGAAGTTCATGTTGCCGTTTCTTAGCATTGTGCTGGATGACTCGGGCGCGGAAACCTCTCAAATGTCCAGTGCTCTAATTGAGGTTAAGCTGAAACTGTAAACCATAATCTGTTTGAAAGTATATAGCGAATGCCCTGGTATAGATGCTGTGAAAGCTATATTCAGAATTTAATGAAGAAACACCAGATAATATTTCACAAAAACCACCAGAACACACACATCAGCTTGAATGTAGAAATAGATTTAATAACGTGCCTGCATGTTGCTGAGTACAACTATTTTTTAGATCTTGGCCCTACAAAACATGTTGTGCAGCACTGAGATCTGATTATAAACATCTGAAGCTCATAAAAGAGCAGATATGTATCCAATTCACTTCTTTTTTTTCCAATTTATAACATTAATAGAGTTGATATCAATGTGTACAGTACCGCTGGTACATTTGGTACAAGCTGGTAATCGAGTGTCAACAGGAATTCTCCACATGGAATGCGATTTCTGAAGGATAGATGACATTAATGAACAGTTTTTGACACAAGGCATTTGAGAGAAGCCAGACATGGATCTGTGTGGGATATATCCATCAGGGCATTATATCCTTGAGTTTCACTTGCTACACACAAAAGGGGGTTTGTATGGAATCCTATTTCCGTCATTGTAAAAAACCATCCAGGTAAATTTGAGAAATAAAGCAACAAGAAATAATACCACAATCGTATAAAGCATAAAGTTGAAATTGTAAGACATGCAGTCTAAACTGCGAAAAAGTTGCGATTACAGGAAATTAACTCACAAATGGAAGATATGAAGTCGCAATTATGATAAAAAAAGATGCAATATGAGATGTAAAGTTGCAATTTTGAGATATAAATTGGCAATTTAAATAAAGAATTAATGAGAAATGAATTAGTGCCACAGTTACCTTTTTATTTTTTCACACTGAGGCAGAAATGAGCTTCCATAGTTTTAACTGCATGACGGCAAGGAATAAAGACTTCTGACAATGTGATTAATCCTTGACTGAAAGAGAAAACGTGCTTTTACTTCTTTTTTTGGAAGAGAATAATCAAATCCATCCATTTTATTGAATTCTGAACAAGTCGCTCAGTTTTCCGTCACTAATGCGTCCCATTTGCTCTCTTTCTAGGCGGTGAGAGGTAATGCTTTGTGAGGGTGTTGGGGAAATCAGACTCCAAATGTTTCATGTGCTTTGGGACTCTGTTGCCTCTCCAGCTTCGGTACCCTGATGCCCTGCCCTTGTTGTAGTGGCACCTCGGCTCCAGCATATTTAGCTCAAAGCAGCCCGAGACCATGTGTGTGTGGTATTTGTTTTGGCAGGGGCATATTGGTTTATTCTTTTAGGTCTCAGCGCCCGTCCAGATGGCACGTCCTATAAAACACAATAACTGTTTGTGAGAGGAGATAACACATGGTACACTGATGCTGTCGAGGCATGCCAAGAGAATCAGATTGTAACATGGCGGTATGCTGGAAGAAAAAAATATAGCGAAAGAACAACATAAAGGCATGAGGACAAGGATGGTCTCTGCCAGGATCTGGGTAGGATTCCATCCTTACCATGTCACTCTGCTCGTGAGTGGCCTTGCTGTCTTGCCTCCTCTGTTTCTGTTGGCCCACTTTGTGAAGAGTCAGGAATTCTGCCTTCAGGGACTTCTGTTCAAGTCAGTTGTTGTGAGCTGAGGAAAGTATTCTTTAAAGTTCCTTTTCTCGTATTAACCTGTAGCACTCATGTGAAATCCTAGCCATCCCTTTTGTCTCAGCTGGTGGGTAAGCAGTTTCACTCATGTGAAGAAAGAGACTAATACAAACGGCAACGCTGAGTGAGGAGCTTATCTTGGCGTGACTTTTTCTCAGAGGTTTGATTATAGAATGATTGAAGGGAAAGGTATGAAAGATCTCTGGAAGGCCCACAAAGTGAGGAAACACTTGAGATCCTTCATTGGACTCACTACAGAAAGGCAGAGAAAACTTTGTGGATGGTAACATCCCATTGGTTTTCACACAACTGTAACAAATGGACAGTAGTTCCCAACTGCACTCCAACTTTGCACTTCCTAGAGGTTCATTTAGCTGACACATTTGCTCTGCTAAAATCCTAGTGAGCCGCATTGCTGTCTTTTAAATGCCCTTTACGTCAGACATGAATATTCTGCACAAACGAGATTTTAAAGGAAACAATAGATTCCTGGCTATGGAATATTCATGCAGATGAACATATATACTAACTGTTTTTTTGTCGTTCATTGATGCAAACGTGCCAACCAAAAAGATTTGAGTTTTGGGTCACATGTCCGACACCCCTGCAGTTAGTCAGTATATGATATATCATTATGAATATCAGCCAGTCACATGCAAAATCATTTTAAATGGCACTTTTTCAGTGTAAATACACTACTCGCACTTTTTATACTTGAAATGTAATAGAATAGAGCATAAGTACGCAAATTGGGACGCATCCCTTGTTTTGGGTTGGTGCATAGATCGTCTCTTCTTTTTCTGCTCTTTTTCCTGTTGTGTTGGTTAGCAAACAGCATTACATTACTGCGCGCGTCCCCTTCTGGATTGGAGTGTGGATCGCCTGCGACTTCGTCGTCTGACTTTATGCACCGAAATGTTCAGTACAAATACATGTAGCGCTACACCCCTACTGAATACACTATGCACTATCTTAACCGTTTCGTACATGAATTTGTCTTCCAGCATTGGAGTCTGAAGCTGCAACAGTTGAGTGCATGAAACTTTTTGCTTAAAAAAGTCCATCATCTGGGTATTTGAAGAGCATGTTGCCTTTTTGAATTTTCAAATTCACACTACTTATACCTCAAAATGGCATAGAATCATGCCAAAGTTCGTGAACTGGGAGGAAGCTATAGTTCGTGAAGTGAATTTTGAAAAGAAACTCATTAAAAAGAATCAGTCGGTAGTGGGAGCCATTTGTTTGCATCCGACATCACGACTCACGCTGTGTGTGTTAGTTGTTTCAAACAGGAAGAGGATCCACTCACACGTAAATGCATACAAAGCTTTCTCGACTAGATTTTAAAGTATTGTCACACATTTTATTTTATTATTGAAGCATTCTGACCACTTTATCAAGCCTTGACGGTCAGTAATCCAATTTATCTAACGTAATCTGTGCAGAACAAATCTCAATAAAATGCTGAATTTAGATTTGTCGCTTGTATGTCAAAAATGGTGTAAAAAAAATTAAAAGAGCTTCCTTTCCTCCCCACCTCCTGTGATGATGAACTTCAGTAGAGCGCCAGGGTGGAGTTTATGGTCTGGGGCAGAGGACATCTGTTTTGCGTGTGGGAGAGACACAGGCAGTGAAGTGAGACAAGGCAGGCCACGCATGATCAGTAGAGAGAGGCTTTGATCAGACAGACCCCAACTCCCCACCTCTCTCCTCTACTGCATCAGAAGGGAACATTGGGGCCATCAAACCAAGTCTGTAGATGAGGAAGAGCAGGGATAACACACTAAGGTGATCTTCTGAATCTGTGAGGATTTGAGATGGAGATTTGAAAGAGAAGGCTTGCAGTATGATGTGGTCATGATGAGGACATATGTGTCTCTTTCTGAGTTATGCTTGTGTATGTTGCTGTTCTTTTTGAAGTCTGTGGTTGCTTATAGACAGGCCGGGCCTCCACAAAAAGTCTTTGAAGCGCAGCATGACCCAAAATGTAAAGTCTAAACTGAGTTTCATCTGGTGCTTATTGCATGTTGGAGAATGCATTCAGTTAAAGACAACATGAACATTGACCCCATTTACTTATAACACTTAAATGTCCCTGATCGTATTCTGCACAACTCAGTGTATGCAGGATGTGTGGGTGGGAAAAAATAATATTAGCAATAATTTTGTATCTTACTTTTAATGATCCATGACCAAGAGTTCTATATTCTGTTCAATCAATTCTGTTCACTGGTCCAAAACATTTTCGTCAACATATAAATCAATTAAGCAACATAGAAATCACAGATAATTCATATATATATATATATATATATATATATATATATATATATATATATATATATATATATACAGTATATGACACACATTAAGTAGAGGTCAATTTTGATTTCATGCCTAATTTATGAATAATAATTAGTTGATTTATGATTTCCTATTTGCTTTATGAATAATAATTAGGACATTACAGGAACTTATACAGCTTGAAGAAACAGTGAAAAATCATTATAGATATTTAGATAATTATATTAATGTAATATTTAAATGCATTATCATCTTTAATCAATAAAATAAGAGTTTAAGCACTTTATGGCTTAATATTTGCCTCATTCTTGAGGGCTTGAGACTTTAGGTTGATATGATTAGTAACAAGCAGCAAAGTGCATTGGAGGACTCTCATGGTTTGAGGACAACTGGGAAGATTTTTTTTTACCGCCACAGACTTTATGTCTCCATATTAAAGTAAACCAGATGAAAGAGATACATATCCCTTAATGTGTAATCATTTACCTGCATGCACTGTCCTGACTCCTGATTCTTCATACAGGAATTCACAGTCCCTTTCCATCCACTGAGCGCAGCATTACCCGTAATGTCAAACAGCTGTCAAGGGAGTGAGCCATGACTGTCTCAGACTTGTGAGAAAGAATGAGCAAGCGTGCAATTCCTCTTCCTTGTTGATGTTTCTTTGCTGTCTGTTTTGTTATGTTACTAATGGTAACCCAATGGAGCATTGATTGACAGATATGCAGCATGGAAATCAAAGAACTCGAAGAGTGCTCTTGTATACGAAAACCCTAAAAGTGACGGAAGGAGTCTTCCAAAGGTCTGGGAAACAGGCTTGTCCTGGATCATTAAAGCAGAAGAAGGGTCTTAAATTATTTCCATGATTTCTACTATTCTTGTTCCAAAATCCACCTGATATGCTGTCATGTGTTAGACATTTCACTCCAGATGGCTTTATTTGAAACTCAGACATCTTTTTCATATGGGCTATAAGGTCACAGCTGTATAGATTTGATATGGTGTTGAACTAAAACAGATCCTCTAACCATCTTTACGTGCATGACGAAATTTCTAAGAAGCATTTATCTTTGGGCCTTTCTGGGGGCTTTATACATAAAGAAATTATGTGCTGTTCATCTAAATAAAGCTTGTCCGATCACCAGATGTTATTTTAATAGGATACTATGTGTGCTCTTCCCAGGTCAGAGGTCACAGCGGCTCCAAAGATGTCAGACAGTCGCTACAGGACATTCAGCGGCGTAACCAACTTAGGAGTGCGCCGCCTTTGCCTCGACGTCATAAGAGGAGATGGTCGCAGATTCGCTCAGAGGGAGTCCTTCCCAAATCTGCTCCACAGGAAGATGAACCCTTCATTTTAGACCTGAAGAACTTTCCCGACCTTGCCAACGCAAACCTGGGCTCCCAAAACCCCAACATTCAAGTAAGAACAAGCCCAATCACACCTTATTGTCATTTTGATTGCCTCAGAGTCAAGTTTCTTCCTGTGTATACATGCTTTTAAAGAAAAAATACAGTGTTTACAGACTGTTGGACCACAAGAAAATGAGGTAAATGAACTGAATCAGTCATTTCGTGTGTTGGGGGTCTTGGGTTTCTTTTGTTGTATGTCTATAATTTTGGCATTAGTTCTTTTAAAGACAGTTGTTAATATTATGGCGGTAGTTTGTTATTCCAGATATGTTTAACATCTCACCGTTCCCAAAACCTTGTCATTTCTTTCCTTAGGGTGAACTAAATCATTGTATAATGAGTTGGGTAATGGATTGATTTTACTTGGCAACAGTTTGTGGTGTATGTAATTAACCTATGCACTCATTGTTTCACTGTTATTGCTGCTGTGATTGCAGTAGGGACTTCAGGTTTCTGCGCTGTTGCTGGTCATGTCACAGCTGCTCCTAAACCGGAGAGGCCTCTTAAATTACCCCAAGCGAGACCTTTATACCGGTGTAGCTCATTTCAGCTATTCCGCTCAAACTTCTGCACAGTGTACCAAAAAGAAAATCCAAAAGGTGAAAGGCCATAGTATTATTTTAACAGCCACTTTTAATGCTCTCTCCAAGAGCAGATCCCAATCTTTAAATGCTTTTACAACACCGGTAAAGAAGGGATTTTTATATTTTTAGGACTGTTATGAAGTTTATGTGTGTAAGTGGACTTGAGAGGAAACGAAGTAAGACTTCAGGGAAAAAATACACAGGAGATCCCTGGTAAGCAAATTGACTTTTATAATAGGGAAAATTCCAGAGTCTTCCAAGTGGGACGGGTCCATCTTCTCTACTTTTTTTAGAAAAAGCTATTTTGTTTTTATGTGTCTTTAATATGGCGGCAGCCAATGTAAATGTATGTGAATATTTTGCTTTTAATATGTCAGTATGCAATGGTCTCCAAAGTACTGAACACTTTCTTACGTTTTCTCATGTTATCATCTTTTTTAAAACAAATTTCTCAATGACTCCCCATTCATAGTGGTAACAAATTTGATAAGAACTTGATAAAGTAATGCAGTGGAGATTCCTTTTGCTCTTCGGTCACTTTTGACAGAAAAAAAAATTTCATTATTATTTTTATTTTATTTTTTTTACTTCATCGGAATGGTACGGAACTTGGTAAAGGTTTCGGCACTTGCTATGTGAACACACAAAAAAAGTCATGGGCATGATTCGAAAAGGTTAAATGGTCCTGGAAAAAAATAATCACACTTGTGTTTCTCGCGGTCAAAAATGACCGCAGTGAAAACTTTTGGGACTGCGGCCAAACAAAATCTTACTGAAAGCTAACTTTTTTGAGATATCAACCTCAATTTTGGAACACAACTTGATTAGGTTTAGGGCTTTAATTTTCTTGCAGTTTTAGAGTAAAACATGTTTTTGAAATTATATATTTCATATAAAAATTTAAAGTAGTATTTTTGTGCATTTTTCATAACAATAAACATAAAATTGTAACATTTTTAAGTTCACTTTTTAAAACTATTTTCACTTAATAATCTGCAATAATCTGCCAAGAGTCATCTTTGAAAAGAGATCAAACTTAAGTCTGTGCTCCAAAGGATTCAAGATTTACCACAGTTTAAGTTCTCCAAAAGTTAATAAATGGATTATAAATACAGCATAATATAATTTAGTACCATAAAATCCCCTAAAAAATACAAAATATTGGTAACACTTTACAATAAGGTTCCATTAGTTACATTAGTTAATGCATTAGTTAACACGAACTAACCATGAACAACATATATGTTCAGCATTAGTTAATATTTGTTAATGTTAACTCACACATATACTAATGCATCAATGTATGTTAACAGCACAATTAAGTTAACATTAGTTAATGCACTAATTAACATGGACTAACCATGAACAACAACTCTGTTCAGCATTAGTTATTAATATTTGTTAATGTTAACTCACACATGTACTAATGCATCAATTCACATTAACAGCACGGTTAGTTAACATTAGTTAATGCATTAGTTAACATGAACTACCGGTAACCATGAACAATGCCTGTAAATAGCTTTACTGTATTTACATTAATTTACGTATGAACATTTCTATCTCACCATGTTACCCTAAATGTAAAAATACTGTTGTGTACCTTATCAACACTCTTTTACAAGGCATTGATTTGTTGGTAAACATAATTCTACAGCGGAAAAATATGTTGTTCATGTTTATACGCACTTTACTATCATTACTTGCATTCAAATAAGTATTTATTAATGGATTGAGTGAAAAGTGTACACTATTTCAACATTAACTGATGTGTTACTAACATTTGTAGACTCTTTATTAACATCAATTACCATTAATAAAGCATTTATTAATGGAATTTATAAACCTTATTGGAAAGTGTACACTATTCAACATTAACTGATGTGTTACTAACATTTGTAGACTCTTTATTGACATGACTTTCCATTAATAAAGATTTTATTAATGGAATTTATGAACCTTATTGTAAACTGTACACTATTCAACATTAACTGATGTGTTACTAACATTTGTTTTCCGCTGTAGCATTATGTTTAATACCAACAAATCAATGCCTTATAAATATGAAAGAGTGTTGATAAGGTACATTTAGGGTAACATGGTGAGTTAGAAATGTGTGTGTCAACTGCTACGTAAACTAATGTAAATATGTACAGTAAGTTAACCTTACAAAACAGTAAAGCTATTTACAGGCATTGTTCATGGTTAGTTCATGTTAACTAATGCATTAACTAATGTTAACTAACCGGGCTATTAATGTGAATTGATGTTTTAGTACATGTGTGAGTTAACGTTAACAAATATTAACTAATGCTGAACAGAGTTGTTGTTTATGGTTAGTTCATGTTAACTAATGCATTAACTAATGTTAACTAATTGTGCTCTTAACGTGAATTGATGCATTAGAATATGTGTGAGTTAACGTTAACAAATATTAACTAATGCTGAACAGAGTTGTTCATGGTTAGTTCATGTTAACTAATGCATTAACTAATGTTAACTAATGGAACCTTATTGTAAAGTGTTACCAAAATATTTAATAAAAAACATTATCGAACTAAAATACAGTTTAATCTTTTCATTGAAATAAATAAAAAATTCGGTTATCTTTGTTGCCATTGAACTTAAATTTCCAGTTTAATGGACCTCCAATGATCTAAACCTTGGATCTTTTTGTCCTTAAAAACGATGTGTTGTGTTTTTTGGAAGTATGAGAGTAGAATACAGTCATGATTAGTTCAAGGAGGAGGTGGAGGCCGACTGTTGTAAACAGGGCAGTTACAGTAGCGTAATCACCCGCTCTAAACTGCTCCGTGCCTTTATAAACAGCTGCTGCAGCCATCAGATTGTTACGCTGTAGGGGAAATAAACAACCAGTCCTTTGTCTCGGCCTGCTGGAACACTTGCTATCGTTTCCTGGTCTGCCTGGCTCGGGCACTACGAGCCCAAGCATGCAGAGAACAAATCTGTCACCTCAAAACATCCTTCAAAATAAACAAACAGGAGAAAAGGGAAAACTTTGAAATATTTTGAACATACTTAAAAGTACTCAAGGGGGCGATAGAGTTACCTTCAGATGTCTGTGCCATTAAACCAAATATCCTGTCATTCAGGTAAACAATTATTCATTAAAGGATACTCGAAAAAAATTAAAGAGCATAATTTATTTGGAATAGAATATATATATATATATATATATATGTTGAATATATAAAGTCTTTGGGATGTGGGATCTACATGCTTGTTTAAGAAATTAAAAGCTACACACTCCATCAATTAGGGTTAGAAGAACTGTTGCCAAACATATAACTATAAGCATTTTTCCTATTTAAAACCAAACAGCGACTTTTTTGGGCCGGGCAGTATTGCATATTTAATTGAACTAACTTGCTAACTTAAATGTGTCTCACTATGACAATAGTTCACCTGGAGAAAAAACAAAAAAACAGGATATAAAGGAAGACGTAGAGCTTATGGAAGGTTATTTGTTGATCTGACACTGGACCTGGTTGAGCTGGACCTGCTTCCAAAAATCAGCTTGACCCCCGTAAGCTGGGTTTTGTAGAGCAACGACTTTCTCATATCCATTTTTTGCAGATCAACATATAACTTTTATCTCTCCAATAGGTTACCATTGAGGTTGTGGACAACCCACAGATGGAGATTGAGATGGATCTGGCCAAGGAGAGCAGGAATGACTGGTCTTTGAGCTCGGAAGAGTGGCTGGGCCATAAAAAGCTCTTCTGGCCACTGTTCTGGGAATACCATGACTCCAGTCAAGAAGGTCCCGGGCAAGGCAGTCTGGAGGAAAACGAGGGGGACCTCAGCTACGAGGGAGAAGATTCCCTTTTGAGTGGTGTGGGTACAGACTGGAACAGACGATGGAAGGGCTGGGACTCCATGGACAATTACGGTAAGCACAGGAGGTTGTTGCCAGAGAGAGTTTGGACGCACATCCCTGTTGCTGTGCAAAAATGAAGAAAATCTTAATAATTGACCTGAATAAATGTCTTTTCATGTTTTTCCAACTGTGTAATCAGAAACCATGAGTTTTTTAGTTTTTGTTTTTCTTCAGCCTTGCTATCGGAAGTATCAGCGCTTATGCTGGGGCTTCTTGGAACGTATGCCGAGCTGATTTCCTCAGTAATGCGGGCCCCAGCCTCCTCTTTAAGTCTTGACATTATGATTTATGCTTTGAGGGTTGTACTCAAGAACTGCTACATAAACATGTCATTCCTGTCGCCACTTCTAGAGACTTTCTCTCGATGCCTATCAGTGGTAAACAGTGAAAGGCGACCCAGTGCTTTGTGTTCTAATACATTATCACAATATTAGTTGTGGTACGCATGTTATCTGGCCACTCAACTGCTTCTTTGGCGGTTAGGCAGATCATTACCTCAAAATGTTTACATACGGGGCAAACCGTAGTGATGAAATACCATTTTAATGCGATTTATATCCTTAAAAAGCTGAACACAACCTATCATCAAGTGCTCTGAACCTTTTCGCGGTGAAGAACAAATTACACAGTGAAAGTATTGAATAAGGGATTGCAGGAGGAAACTCAACGCTACGTCTGGTTCACGTTAGTGACAGTGGGCTTGAGCATCAGCTTTGTGTTTCGTCTTTGAAGCTGACACCAGTGCTGGGAAAATGTAGCTGTTTGAAACCTGGGTCCCGACGCATAGGGCCTCTTCACTGGCTAAACAACCAATATTTGTGTTCAATTAGACAGCCGATTGTAAGAAGGGCCAGCATGCTTACGCTGACAAAGAAAGCGTCTGCTGTGTTTTCATCCCACGACTGGTGGGTCGCTGCGTTTCACACGGTCTAGCCCTTTGAGTTCTCCCAAGAATTTGTGGCAGTTCTCAGGCCTTGGAATGAAAGTTTCCTTTTTTTCACACCAAAGTTATATTCATTGCCTGAGTATTGTTAAAGCATTCAGTCACTGTGCTTTTATGTGTGAGACGTTTTAAAAATTGGCAAACAATTTCAACTGCTGGGAAGTATAATATTATACTCAAAGCTTTTTTTTTTTGTGCATATTTTTAGTGCCTTTAGGTGGCAGCATTAATGATTGAAAAAAATATTTCCAAACAGGTAGTACTTAGCTGCAAACTCACGAGATATACTAACATTCAAAAGTTTGGGGTCAGTGAGATTTTATTGTAAAGACATTTAAAATGTTACGAAAGATTTCTATTTCAAGTAAATGCTGTTCTTTTGAACCATCTTTTCATTGAGAATCCTAAAAAAAGTACCATGGTTTACACTAATATATTACTTTATATTAAAGGGGTGGTTCAGAATTTTGGACATCGGGCCTCATTTCCAAGTTAGCCTTAATGTTATTTATCAGTGGAGACAGTTTTCAAAAAATTTCATCCAGTCGTTCCGGTTGCATAGTTCGCCGGTGCTAGGCTAGCGCGAGTCAACGGTAACTGTTTTACCCACTCCACAGTACACCAAAAGCAAATAAATTCTAACGCCAGACTATCGATGTAAATGTCTGTTGAGAGAATAATGTTAGAAATCAAACTACCCTTTCATTGCATTGCATAGTTATACTTTGTTCCCTGTATTTATTAGCGCAGTCTACAGCAGCGGCGGAGTGATATGTAGTTACCTAGGCAACCGAGAGAGGTAGTGAGAGAGAGAGAGGTAGAGAGAGGTAGTTCCGACTGTAGTGCGCTTCGGTTCTGTGTTTACTTTTCGGCGCAGTACTACTAACCGGAGCAAAGTAAAATTCCGCCGCTGCTGTGAAACTAGTTCCTGTAAATGTATTGCGATCATTGAGATGCAAGAGTAGTTTGATTTTTAACATTATTCTCTTAACAGACAATTACATCGATAGTCTGGCGTTATAATTTATTTGCTTTTGGTGTACTGTGGATTAGGTAAAACTGTTTTTAATGGCAGGCTAGCAGTTACCGTTGACTCGCGCTAGCCTAGCACCGACGAACTATGCAACTGGAACGACTGGATGAAATTTTTTGAAAACTGTCTCCACTGATAAATAACACCCAGGCTAACTAACTTGGAAATGAGGCCCGATGTCCAAAAATCTGAACCACCCCTTGAAGTAGCACAACGGTTTTCAAAATTGATAATAATAAGATTTGAGCAGCAAATTAGCATATTGGAATGATTTATCTAGGATCATGTGACACTGAAGACTGGAGTAATGATGCTGAAAATGATGCTTTACCATAACAGGAATAAATTACATTTTGAAATACATTAAAAATAGAAGGTCACACTTTAGATTGGGGTCCAATTCTCACTATTATCTAACCATAAACTACGACTTTTGCCTCAATAAACTCTTAATTACCCCTTATTAAGTGTATATTAAATATATTATCAGGGAAAACAAAGTTTTAACAGAAAATCTTCAATCACATAGGCCTGGTTTCACAGACAGGGCTTAGATTAAGCCAGAATTAGGCCTTAGTTCAATTAGGACATTGAAGTATATTTTATAAACATGCCTAAGTATTTTATTTTTTTAAAAAAAACATTACTGGTGTGCATCTTGAGACAAAACAATGGCACTGACATATTTTAAGATTTGTCACTGCAAGTTGCTTTCAGTTAAAACAGCCCAAACATGCATTTTAGTCTGGGACTAGTTTAAGCCTTGTCTGTGAAACCGGGGTATAAGATCTTATTTGGATTATTAAACTACAACTTGCTGCAGTGTCCGACTCCTCCACAATCAACATATATCCTTTTACCATCTTTATTTCACTTGGGCATTTTTCAACTCCATCTGTCATTGACTTTCAGGGTGATCCTCCACTAAGGTTGTGTTGCACCATGTTCTTTCAGCATCATTAGAGGGAAAGTGCATTGGTGGTGTGTGGTCAAATCCAACACCCAGCCAAAAAAGAAGCAATTGCAGCATGCTTGCTGCGGTCATGTCAGCAGTAGAGCCTCTGAGGATGTGGGTACGAAACCGAAACGGCATCTCTCTGTTGCCCCAGTGGATCTAAAATAGACCTAATGAGTGTACTTAGAGTAGGAGTGTGTTGTGTACAAACAAGCTTGAATGGGAAACCGAGAAGGGAAAATGAGCCACATTATTAATGATGTGGTCTACGCTAGAGGCGTACAGTAATGAAGCGCTTTTCTGCAATTATGGTGAGCCACAGAATTACAGGCAGGCCATGTTCGGCAATAGCTCGGTCGAATGTTATAGCTGTAGGTCGTTTTTTCCTCTCCACTGCCCTTATGAAAATTATTTACGGTCAAGTACACGCTTTTACTATAGTAACTTATTAAAATGCCTTTGGTATTTTAGTTGAAACAAAGTTCTCTGATAGCAAATGTATGTCTATTCAATGTGCGCGGTCTCAAACTCTTGTGTTGCTAGAATTGGCCAGCTGTCATTGGAAATTAATGATATCTGGTCTCTTTGTCACTGCAAAGCAGTGTCATTGTGTGACACAACACAATAACAAACCATATATGATGGACTGCTAGGTTTCAGACCAATCGGATTTTACACCGGAGGGGGCTACGGATGTCAACTCTGCTTAAATAAAAATTAAGCAACCAACAAAAATGTCCTGATACTTTTATTGCAGTCACAGCTTATTAGAATAGAAACTCAGATTTACATAGAAAAGTTTGCTTTTAACAATTGTTGTTTTATTATGCCTGGCTTGGACACAGTCTTAGGCAAGTGAGGCAATCTACTTTTTTTAGTTGTTGTCATGTATGGTAATTTCTGAATATACACTTTACCTTTTAAAAGTTTGAAATGGTAAGATTTTTAAAAATGTATTTGAACGAAGTCTCGTATGCTCACCAAGGCTGCATTTTGAGCAAATATACAGTAAAAACACTAATTGTCATGAGTGGCTGTAGTAAATAGTACACGAAGACGAATGGCTCAAAAGGAAACAGTCTTTACTATCATAATCCATAGGAGAACACTGGAGAAGCTCAGGGGAAAACACATCCACGTTACATAGACGAGACAGGACAATGAATGCAACAAAACAGAGAGTATTTATACTTGAACTAATGAGATAGATGACCACCAGGTGAACTTAAAGGGTTAGTTCACCCAAAAATGAAAATTCTGTCAGTAATTACTCACCCTCATGTTGTTCCAACCCCGTGAGACTTTCGTTCATCTTCGGAACACAAATTAAGATATTTTTGATTAAATCTAAAGCTGGATCACTCCTCCATATAGGCTTCTATGGAGCTTCTGGGTTGTAGGCTCACTATTGGCCGACGCTGGTCATGTGTGTGATGCGTGTGATGCTGGCTAATAGTGAACCTACGTTCTGACGTACAACCCAGAAGCAAAGGCAAAGTAAATACACAAAGAAATTTGGAACATAACTCTGACACTAATATAGTGAAATATTATTATAATTTAAATAACGGTTTTCTATTTTAATATATATTAAAATGTAATTTATTCCTGTGATGGCAAAGCTGAGTTTTCAGCATCATTACTCCAGTCTTCAGTGTCACATGACATGGTCCTTCAGAAATCATTCTAATATGATGCTTTGATGCTCAAAAATATTTCTTATTATTACTAATCTGCTGCTTAATATTTTGTTGAAATTGCTCTTACCCCATTGGAAAGTTTATATTTCTTATATTATTCATAAATCAAATAAAATTTTATAAAGTTTATGCTTAAACCGAGAAAAAAAATGTATCTTATTATCTTACTCAGTTTTTTCTAAAACAGCAAATGATCTTCATTTGAATTAAATTTAGGATGTTTGGATTTCTTTATGGGAAAACACAAAATTAATACCAGTTAAATTAAATTATTCAAGAACTATGTTTTTTTTGTTTTTTTATAGTGAAGCTTTTTTTTTTAATTATAATTCTCGGACAGTTTTTCGAACGATTTGCAATAAAGTCCATCTGTCATCAGTGTTTTGTTTTTTTGCCGTGACAGTACAAGTGGACATCTTCATCATCAGAATGTGGGCCTTCAATTGGCAAAAACACCTGGTAACAAGCAACAACGCAGCCAAAATGCATTAGCGAGGAAACAGTGCACTTATTTCTCTTTCAATCTTCTCTCTCTCTCCATCACTACCGCCATGAGTGCTCTGAAACTTTAATCTCTTTAGCATGGTGGTGGAAAGAGAGCATTGTTGGAAAGCGTCTAAGCTATTAGGCCTTGCCTTCCTGCTGAAGTGTTTGCATTGGCTCAGTTCTCACAGCTGTAAGCTGACTTTGCCTCTGACATATTTATTACCAAAAAAAAGCATGCCTGGCCTGCCAGGAGGGCCACATTTTGTTCATTAGAGAGATTATATTTTACAGAGAAATACGCAATATTAATTTAGTTGCGCATCATTAGCTTCCTTATGCACAACAGAGTGATGCACTTAACATCTTGTCTGTTTTGGGATTTTTTTTCTTTGTCAATCCCAGTATGTCGGACATTTCAAACGCAAACAGGTACTTATATAGTGAAGTTGAAGGTGTAATCTTAATACAAGGACTGAGCTAAAGTATTTTTAAGATTTCACTTCCACAAGTAAAAAAAAAAAAAAATCCTTTACTGTTACTCCAACTCATTTGTGGTCTGACCTGCATTGCATAACATTATTAAAAAGGTCATCATTTATTTTTTTATCTACAGAATATGAGGAGGAAGAATGGAGCGACTGGTCACCATGCAGTGTCACCTGTGGACACGGGAATCAGAAGAGGATTCGTTCATGTGGCTACGCCTGCACTGCCACAGAGTCACGGACATGTGACTTAGAGCGTTGTCCTGGTGAGACTGTCAATACTGTCACTTATACGTAGGCCTTTTCAACCCCACAATGCACTTCACTGCATAAATTTAGCAGTTAGCACACTGTTTATCGATACTCTTCCCTAAAACGTCTTGATCTTAATTCCACCCGGCTCCTTATTATGCTGATAGTGATGGAAAACTCCACTAATGCCTCATTCATCTCTGTCAGGCATGCGAAAGTCGAACAAACACCAGGGGCACCAGACTCGTGTTAGAAAGGGAGCAGTCTGGCCTTCTGTGTGTGTACTGTATACACTATGAAACTGCTCTTTGAGAGCAGCAGGCATTTACTTGGCTTCAGTATGACAGCTCAATGAGGGCTTTCATTTTAAAAGCCCCTGATACAGGGCGGTCCACAAACCTGCCGTGCACAAATGCGCATTACACAAAATGAGTTCGCTTACAAACTCAAATACACTAAGTGAGGCTCTACAGTGCTGAATCTACATTAACACCATAGAACTTTATTTTAACATTTTGAGCTGCTGAAAAACAACAGCTATTAGATAATAAGAGAAAGTTAGCATTCCAAAAATAAATTGATTGATAAAAAAAAACAATTTGTCTCTAACCAGGCGATTGAGAGACAAGTCTGAATAAGGGACCGTCTGTAAAGTCCAAAACCCGAAACCCTTTTGCACATTTTATATTATTAAACATATTCAATAGCTTCACTGTGACACTGTCACCAAATTCAGTTCACACATCACTGCTCTCCTGCTAGTTATACTACAATACTTAGTTTGATAAACTGCATTTGGTGTGTTATGTGACTGTATTTAGTGAAGTTATTGAATATTTTTCATAATATAAAATGTGCAAAAGCAGTGTAGTATGACCAGTGGGAGACCATTGATGTGTAAACTGAATTGGGTGACACTACAGTGTGTAACATTGAAGTTAATGACTATTTTTGTAGTCACCTTTTTTGGGGTTATATTGCACTTTGTAGATGGTCCCTTCGGACATGTCTCTCAGCCGCCTGCTTTATAGAGATCAATTTATATAATAAAGCTCAGTTTGAGGGAAATGTGGGTTGTAGCTCGTTACTGTGATTGTAAATAAGTGTAATTTGTGTTTTAACAACGTTTAGCTCACGAGTTATTGATCCGGGAAGTTCGAATCTGTGATAGCTCCTTGGGTTAAGCACTGACCGCATTTCTTTACATTTGAGTCCAAGTTTAAACACTATGAAATGCTCCATTAACGTACGGAGCTCTGAAACACTGCCAGGGGGACATTAAACAGGAGGTGTCTGTCCGAGCTCACAGCAGGTTTTGCGTGGGAACGCAAATATATTTGCGAGCCAGCCAACGCAAAAGTTTTGCGTATGAACGCAAATATCTTTGGGAGAGAACGCAAAGTTTCTCGGGGAAACACAAAAGATTTGAAAAATAAATATTTCTCCCATCCCAAATTTTTTCCACCACTTTTGGGGCTCCGTAGTAGGCTAATGTATGGGTTGCTTGTGAAAAATTGTGCTGGAATACACCGGAAATCAAAGGATAAATATGCTTTTTTTTGCAGCCAATCAGTGTAGTTTCGACAGCAGGGGATAACCTTAGCATAACCTCACCCGTAGGTTTCTGAAGAGCATTTTTGAAGCCCAAAGTGGGCGGAGCCAGCCATCGCCATCTTGGCAGCGCGTCACTCCTGGATAACCGAAAATGGGTAAAGAGGCGGGATTAGCTGAGGTGACGTGACGGCTAACAGACAGCAAACAAACGGCTAGTAGTGACAGCAGCGGCAATCCACCTGTCACTCAAGTGGCCACGCCCTTAATCATGCAGAACTTTAAGGCTTAATATAATTTAAATGGATGAGTTATAAAAAAATCACCCCCGGTGTTATGTTAATTTGATTCAAATTCCAACTTTTGAAACTTAAAAATGTAACTTAACCAGTTCTTCAAATTAAGTTTTAAGTGTAAATCAGTTGTTGTATTTTCAACACGATTGTTGAGGTCGTATTGTGTGTTTTGTTTCAAATTGCATGTTGATTTTAAATATCTTCTATCTCTCTTACATCTATAGATGACATAGTTCCTGTGACAGAACTGACTCCTCACGAAGTGGCAAACAGCACAGAGCTTTTTGACACAGGTTGGTAATTTTTGTTTGTGTACAATATGGTGTGGGCATTCAACAATTCAGTATTCTGGTAGTAGCGTTTTGTGCCATGGTACAGAATGATTACCATATTTATTCAATGTGGTATATTACATGGTACATGCCCACATTTCCATTACAGTATTCATTTTTTATCAAATGTTTTGCCATTTACACAACTTATTTTTAAGATATAGGCAACATTATACGGCACTATTGAATCTCTTAATGGAAGTTTCAGCAAATTGCCTTTCAAGCTTCTAGTGTGCTCTTTTATTAGTTTAATCAACGATTATTGATTTGTCTTAGCTTTAATTTAACTTAATGTCTAGTTCAAAACCCGTTTCATTAGCATCATTGTAGAAACTGCTCCTTTGAGACTTCAGCGGGAGGAACTCTGTAGGGAGTCCTGTTAGACTGTAAAAGATCTGATGTTCACATTTTTCACAAATGCTCCACAGAGAGTGTTACTGAGACCACAAAGTAAAGAGTCCTCTTCCAAAACCCCCACTGTTTGCTTTGGAGTTTTTTGTTGGTCTCTCATTTTTGGCATTGAACATTGAACGTAATAGCTCTTTTCATTTAACCGTAATAATAATGAAAGTAGTTTAAAAACATAACAGAATAAAGTGTTTTTTTAATCTCTTCACAAAGGAACATAAATGTTAATAACAACTTTGTTTCAGCATGACCGCTGCCTGCAGCACATATTTTATGGACAGTATCTTTACATTTTGGCAGCAAACAGAGACAACCCCCATTACGTGTTAGGCCATGAATCTCAAAATGGCCATAATTTGTTTGGCATTGTAAATGAGACTTGATATAAGACTTAATATCTTAAATAAATGTTTGTAGTTTAAGGAACTTGAGATATTTTTACTAATTTATTTAATATAATGTAATTACCAATATAATAAGATGTATCTTGAAAAAAAAAAAAAAAGATCTTGAAATGATTTTTTAATATTTATACCGGGGGGTATATGCCACCCTTATTAAATTGACCTTATTACCCCATAGATGTTGACAGCTGTGAGAAGTGGCTTAATTGCAAGAACGACTTCCTCCAGAAATACCTACACCAGGTCCTGACCGAATTGCCTAACTGCCCTTGCATCTACCCATCCGAGGTGGTCTACAGTGCTGTCAACATCTTCGATAGGAAGTTGCAAAAGACCTATCGCTGGCGAGATGCCAGCGGCCCCAAAGAGAGGCTGGACATCTACAAGCCCTCTGCGAGGTTCTGCGTTCGCTCGATGCTCTCTTTCGACAGCACCACATTGGCTGCACAGCACTGCTGCTACGACGATCACATGAAGCTCATCACTCGAGGCAAAGGGGCCGGAGCACCCAACCTCATCAGCACAGAGTTCTCCCCGGAACTTCATTACAAAGTGGACGTGCTCCCGTGGATCCTGTGTAAAGGAGACTGGAGCCGCTTTCATTCGGTTCGGCCTCCCAATAACGGTCTACAGTGTGTCGAGAACCCGCAGGAAGACGTCTACATGAATGAACTGGAAGAGGCCAGGGAGTACTGATCCAGGGAAAACTGGATTTCAAATCGAATCGACCAGCGTTCACTTGATTCCATGGTACAGTATTGGCACTCCACCAGTCTTGAAGGCAATAAAAGCCTCCTACTTTCTAATTGGGCGACAGTTTTACAGATATTGACTCTCATTGGTCAAACTATTTAGCTGATACTAAATGGAACTGTAGAGAGAGATTCGTCTGGAGACTAAAGCTTAGATACGTTCACAAACTGTTGTGTACTGCAACACTGCAACAACACTGGTTGAACATGTTGGTCCAAAGCCCAGATTGGAAGACCACGATGCAATTTTCTGTGTTCTTTCTTCTTTGACGTTACGTACGCACTCCAAACAAAGTTCAGCGACAGTTCTTCAATGGCATTCTCTGGAACAAGTTCACTGTATTTTCATTGGATGCATGTTTGTTTTCCTTCAATGTCCTCAAAGACTCTGATCCACCATTTAAGGAATTCCAGTAAAGCTGCTAGAATTTCGAGATATTCAAAAATGCAACAGAATGCCGATTTTGTTGTGTTTAGGCCTGAAGCTCACTCCTGGCCTTGCTTCAACCCGTGCAAGATCAGTCCAAACAAATCAAACACAAGCCACACCATTCGCAAACCAATTCAACTCTTTAGAGCTTGTATATTGTTACTCCAAATATGCACAGACCTTGTGTCATTGAACAGATATTTATGCAGGATCATTTAGCACATAACTGTCGCAGAACGGAATTGGGGAGTCTGAGAAACGTTAGGAAACCATTTTTTGAACTTGCCTTTGAGAAGACGTCCCTCAGCAATGGGAGGCTTGTTTTTTAAAATCTGAAGTATAATTGGATCCCATTCTGTTTTCTTTTTTGCCTTTCAACACAACTCAGCTTTGTACTGAATGCAATATGAGACAGCCGCCTGACACCAGTGTAGGGGGCTGTCAGAGCTCAGTTGATGGATTGAAGTCTTCCTCTAAAGGTGAGGTGAAGGTGACACTTTTTGTAAACGAACATATCTTTAAATACAATGGCTCTTTCAGTGTCTCTGTTCATCCTTGAGTCCCAATTAAAGCCTGGAGGCTTACAAGGGATGTAGTTTGAAGGACCTAAGCCGCCCTTTTCAGCACAAGTGTTATCATGATCTCCTTGTGAGATGTTGACATGGAATGCTGGTGATTTGATTCCTAAATTCCCACTGACAGATGACTGTTCCATGTAGCAATGAACACACCCACCTTGTGATTTTAAGCACAGTATAGTTCTATCAAATCTGCTTTATACTTTTTTGCCGTTTTCGTTGTGAATTGGATCAAGCAATATTTTTGTGATTTAAAACTCCAATTATCAGTGCACTCGTCCAGAAGCTTGCACACGGTTCATACTTGGTTCATCTCAAGATCTACATTCCTGTAAAGTTTAGTTATAACTCTAAACTTCTAAACTGAAAAAGATTATCTTCTGAAAAAGATAATCATGGTATTTGCATTCGCTTGAAAAATACAGATAGGTTGCAGCTAACACTAAACTCTGCAGAAAAAGATATCCAAGTGTAGGACTAAGGCCCCGTCCACACTACTGCGTTTTCTTTTAAAAACGGAGACCTTTTGCTACGTTTGCACCTCCCGTCCACACTAAAACGGCAAAAACGGAGACCCAAAAAGGAGAAGTTTAGAAACGCTGCCGATCCGTTTTTCGTTTTGAATCTCCGGAGGGCGTTTTAGTGTAGACGGGTCAAAACGGAGGACTTTAGAAACAATGACGTAGTAGAGGCTCACGCTCGGCTCTATGATTGACAGCGGCGGCGTTGACCGTACATGGAGTGTCGGTTTGGGGTTTGGAGCATGGTGGGATAATTTTATCAATGAAGTTGTTTACACCGGCACGCGCATGCCCAGTGTTGGTGAATGGTCACGTGATCCGCGTTTTCAGTCGTTTTAATGTGGACGGAGATCAATTCTAATACGCAGCTAAAACGCTGGTGTGGACGGAGATCGTATTCGTTTTAATTCTCCGTTTCTAAACTAAAACGCAGTAGTGTGGATGGGGCCTAAGCCAAGCACATTAGCATCACTTATGATCCCTGTCAGACCTGAGCAAAACCGTAAAGATATTTTCATGGAGATAACAGTAAATGGCAACCATGAAAACATCATTCAGTCCAGCTGTAAGAACTTTGGAAGCATTCAAATATCCTGCTCTTTGTGGTGGTATATTTACTTTAAATATTACAGACATAGATTTTTTTGGTATTTGTGGTATTTGGTATAATGACATTTTAGCAAAAGTAAAAAAAACGTAGCTATGCATACAATTCACTGTAGTTTCCAGCTGAAATGAACACTAGAGGCCGTAATACACCAACAACCTTCATTCCTTTTAACTCAAATTATGATTACGGGGGCAGATTATTGATTAATAATGACTTAACATTGCCATATTCACGTTCATGGAAGTGTAATGAAAGGTGCAAGAAGCAACGCAATATCATTTTGCAGAAATGTCGCTACAGGTACGTATTTTCAATGGTTCTGACAGTAATTCAAGTAAATCGCAATGTCTACATGCCCGAGATTTGACTTTGGTTTTGTGTCACAATATTTTCAGTAAATAAACTGATGAATGAGGGTATTTTGATTGGAAAGGGAAACTTTGTGCCTTTTTCTAATTAGCAATACTGTCTATTGAAGTTTACGTACAATACACTATTTTCTAGGTACATTTGATAGTAAGAGTTCACCTTTCAGAGCTTCAAAAAGAAAGGCACTTTATTTAAATATGGATAATGGAAAATATGTACTAAATGTGTATATAATCGTATATTGAATTAAACTTGTATAATTTACTGATTTAAAACAAATTATGTTATTGTAAAAGGATGAATAACAAATGCTGCATTTTTTAAGAATATTGTATTTAATGTAAAATTTTGGCATGTCATTTTTAACTTCAGATTTATCCTTGTACAGTATTTATTGCTTTTGATTTTTGTAACGCATTGCTATGAAGTGGATAATCAAATAATTCTATGCACTATATAAATCTGAGTTATTTTGGATTTCTGGTCTGTGAAAAGGAAAGCGCCATACCACACACCGTTCTACTTCAATAATGTTTCTAAAGTCATCTTTCGTTGTATTAAACACTCTTTGGCCAGACATAATAAATGTAACTAGTAACTTTGATAATGTCATGTGTGTTTTAATTACAGTGTCCAGTAAATAATTATGTGGAGTTTCATTGAAGAGATTTAATTTGTTGAAATTGAGAAAAACATTTTTTGTAAAGTATTTTAAGGCTGCATTTATTTGATTAAAAAAAAAACTGTAATGTGAAATATCTTTATTTGAATATATTTTAAAATGTCATTTATTCCTGTGATGGCAAAGCTGAATTTTCAACATCATCACTCCAGTCTTCAGTGTCACAAACATGCTGATTTGCTGCTCAAGAAACATTATTCTTATAAGTTGAAAACAGTTGTGTTCACTTTGATGAATAGAAAGTTAAAACAGTTAAATAAAGTCTTTTGTAACATTATAAATGTCTTTACTGTCACTTTTGTTCAATTTAATGCATCCTTGCTGGATAAAAGTATTGATTTCTTTCCACACAAAAAAATTATAATTAATACTTACTGACCCCAAACTTTTGAACGGTGTATAATGTTACAAAAGCTTTATATTTCAGATAAATGCTGTTCTTTTGAATTTTATTTTCATCAAAGAATCTTAAAAAAAAAAATTGCACACAACTGTTTTCAATATTGATAATACACGTCAATGTAATAATAAACGTTTCCTGAGCATCAAATCAGGATATTAGAAAGATTTCTGAAGGATCATGTGACACTGAATACTGGAGTAATGATGCTGAAAATACAGCTTTGCCATCACAGGAATATATTACATTTTATAATATATTTAAATAGAAAACTGTTATTTTAAATTGTAATAATACTTTACAATATTACTGTTTTTATGAATCACATAAATGCAGGCTTGGTGAGCATTTAGAGACTTCTTTTAAAAACATTAAAAAGTCTTACTGATCCCAAACTTTTGAACAGCAGTGTATAATTTTTTTAAACTGTTTTAAAGTTTTAATACAGATAATGTTAATGGGAACTCCAGAACTAGCGTCTCAATTGTGGTCCACCCACACCCTTCTTACAGCCGCAAGTTGTCTTATTTTTATTAATAACCTCGAAAATGATGTGTAAAATGGCTGCACATCTCATAAAGTTTTTAAATAGCTCAAAAACATGAAGTGTGGACAGCTGTCACAGCAAACAGACGCAGCAGTCGTTTTTTAATTTGAGCATGATGGAGTTAACAGTAGATTTGGGTTCTCGTTTTCCGCTGGAGATTAGGTTGCCTTGAACACATGTGCTGCCTCCTTTTCTCAATTACCAATTAGGAGGAAGAACATTTTGTTTTTGGACGAAAAGAAGCATTAGCTTTAAGTCTAGCTAATGCAAAATGAATTGGACAACTGGCTTGGTATCATGTCTTTATTAGAACTGTGCTTAATGTTGCGTATTGGGTAACAGAGCTGAGAAAAGATTGAAGCCCTGAAGGGTTTTTGCAGTGCTTATCATTGAATAGCAATCTTGCTATGTAACTGCCATCTGCTGCTCTAATAATCTAATTGCCTTCATATTAAGTATCGCTTGAATGCCTCAGCCAGTACACAACCTGAACCAAGTCCAAGTCAGGTGCTGCAATGGAGGTCAGTAACCTTTTCCCCTCCCCTTCTGTTCTTTGGGAGCCCACTTAGTGGATTTCCTCAGCGGTTTTGTCAGATCTGCCTCAGATGCATTTTGCTCTGACATTGTTGCCTGATGCCATTTTCCTCTTCCGTCATAAATGGGTGTAGATAACGATGTTCAGGTTGTCAGTCAAAAGCCTATGTAAAAATGTGCAACAATTGATATTACTTTTCTAAGTAATTGGAGGATTTTCGCCAGTTGGATGATAAAACGAACCATATCTAATCATATTTTGAGAACAACCTAGCAACTGCAAAGCAACACCCCGACGACAAGCAGGTATGAGATGAATCGATTCTGTTCCAGTTAAGATACTCATATGATTCTCATTCTTTAACCATTAAAGATTCATTTAGTATTTAAGGAAATTCCATTGTTAAATGATAAGATAATATCAATAATAAGCCGATTCTTGCAAAAGGAGTGTATACACTGACTTTCAATGGTTTTCAGTCTTTTTACAGGTGGCTTCACAAAAAAGGACCGACTTATTAGAGTCATTCGGACCGACGAACCTGGTTGAGCTGAATGTTTTTGATTCACTACAAAACTGGCTAATGTGAGTCATTATAGTAAGACAAGAAACTCTATCAGAGTTTAGCCTATACAATATTCCGTCCACATAAGCGGAAGAATGTGCTTGTGAGAACCGAACGTCATGCGGTTTTGGTAATGTTTGTAATCTGAGATTTGTTTCGGAATGATATCCTACCCACAACACCTTAGCATTGTGATGGCGATCACCATTGACATTGTATTCTTGAGTTACCAGGGGTAACTTTGGTTCAGATATGCTTTAAAACATTTACAAAAAGCAATAAACCATTAGATAGAGTTGGTGGAAACAGTGAATGTTTTATTGTAGGTATAATATTTTCAATTAAATACCAAAAAGTCCTTTGAAGTCCTTTGAAGTGAACATGGCACCCTCTGGATCTCCCACAGCTCTTGTGGTAATGTTTCTTTTCTATGAGTGAAAATAACAAGCAGAAATTACACTCACTGCAGAGTCAAAACAGAATATTTATTAGAGGTCAGCCCTTCAGTGAGCTCAAAGCTTGGCGGCTTGGAGCTGGGTGCAGGGAGTCAGGCAAAGATAACTGTACCTGTATTTGGGGCTGTTTGCACAGAAAACACCCCCCTCCCGGAGAACCCCAGGAGGCCAGAGGGACGCCTGCTCTTTGTCCCTCACAACGAGAGGAAACAAAAATAAATAGAGGAGTGAATGGTCACAGGACATTGCTTAAACATAAAGACCCGGCTCTAAAGACAGACAACCAAATTGGGTTATTCCGTGTACGACTATGGCCTTTGCTCTTGCTCGTATATTAAGAATAATTAGGAAGTCTATTTCTGAGCATATGTCTTCTCAATGTACTGCAAACCATTAATGCATTAGGAGGCATAATTACTGTTGAACACATAATGGGGAAATGGTTTAGGGGCTCATGAAACAGGTCCGTTGAAGTGTGCTTAAGCTGGGGGGTTTTCCACATATTTTTTTAATACTTAAAAATAATTTGATTTATTTTTGACTTATCTTTCATTTGATTTATTTAGTCACTGAATCTCAACAGACAAAATCCATGACTTATAGGTCTTTTTTTTGTGTGCATATTTTATTTGTGATGAATGTAGCAAAATCAAGGTGACGTTTTTGGGTTTATGGTGACGTTCCCGTCCCTGAAAACTGTAGTAAGAATGGCAGGGCAAAAATATCACTGTGAGCATTGGTGAATGAGAACAACATTTGAGAGGGGCTTGTTTTACAACCACTCTTGGGGCTATAAATAAGGGAGAGAGAGAGATCCAAAACAGACCTGAGAAAAGTGAGTCCATATGGGTGCTGGTGGAATGGTCCGTGATGAGCCAAGATCAAAGCCTTCTGCTCTGAATGAGTACAGCTCCCAGCACAAACTCCACTGCACCAGTCTCCTTTTACTAACAACGGATCCGACCAAATAGAGAAATATGTGTTATGCTATTGCTTGATTCTGTATCACTTCATTATATTAACTTCATATTTCTATCTTCTAAGACTTACAGTTGTGGACAGAATTATTGGCACCCCTGGTAAATATGATCAAAGATGGCTGTAAAAAATAAATCTGAATCGTTTATCCTTTTTACAGTTTTTCTCGATTGCTTAAACACATTTCTTGAAACTATGCCTCGTATTCTCAAAACAGTAAACACAAATCCATAACGTCTCACCCAATTCCCCAAACATCCTATTTTCAGGTCAAAATGAAGCTCTACACTCAAAACCATTCACTCTTGCTGAAAAACCAAACTTTGCCCTCAGACAGGACACACAAGCCCTCAAAAATACACACACTACAACATAGTCTTACACACTGGTGCTATAAATTCAAAACAACATTTCCAAAACTGGTAATTCATGTAGCTTGTGGTCCCCCGCCCTCCCTCCCCCCCATCTTTTTTTTTACTCTCTCCTACTCTTACGTAAGATGTGTGTGAGCATCATATGACAGTAAAAGAGCACATGCACACAAACCTTATTCAAATATGGAATTGTATTGGAATGGTAAAGAGTGTTGGTACATGCCTCCCTCCACATGTATCCAAGGATACAATATGATGAACAAGTCTAAGAATGTTCCACATATGGTTGAAATACCATCATTTGCCTAGAAAGATAACATTCTGTGAGCTAAGACTATAAAGGAGAAAGGATGCCCTCCCTTCACTATCACACTCTGCAGCCACTCTGTGTGACTGTACGACTGCTGGCCTTTTCTTGCAAGAACATAAACCTCATCAAAGACAATTGGAAATGTTTGTCTCTTATTCAGTGATAGAAATTTGTTTGCCACCACACCTCCCTGAAGGTTCTGATGATGGAGGCGACGGTGAAGCGACTCAAATTTGGCTGTACTCTTTGCCCAGCCTCCCTCATAGTCATACCATGGACAAGGACATGGCCAACTAAAGTGGCTTGAATTTCATCTGAGACTGCTTGTCTTCTTGTCCTTCCTCCTCCTTCTCCTCCTTCTCCTCCTTCTCCTCCCCCTCCTCCCCTCCCTCCTCCTCTTCCTCCTCCTCCTCTCCCTCCTCGACCTATTGCTTAATTTCTCTGTGGATCCATTGTTCCAAAACTCAGTAAACTGATTTTTATCTTTTATAAAATATTGTATAACCTTTTATCTATTGAAGGATCTGACTGATGTGTGTTCAATTTTGACTCTTAGTGTTTTCACCTGGGTAATTGTGTGCTAACTGAGCTGAAGCTGTGCTGACTTGAGTGAACAATATTGAATGCTAGTGCTTTCTAAATGACCACGTGGTGTAGGCAATGAGAAATGAAGGGATTTGTGTGTAGAGTTTTGCTGTGACAGTTCAACAAATTTGACTAATGTGTCAAAACAGGGGAATAGTGT